TGTTAATCAGTGAACCCATTTCTTCCTGGCTGTAGTGGTTCTTTTGTGGAATTATTTTCTATTTCCCTTTATTTTTGGTGTCTGTTACCAAGAGTGATACTATTATATTTTAGGATAGCAACAGAAAATTTTAAAGCTTATGCCTACTTGCCCAGGCTTATGCGCACACGTTTTTAGCATAAGAGTAAAGGTATGCTTCATAAAACAAGTTTAGTGAAAAATGAACAATCTTCTTTTGTAACTTTGAAGACCAGAAAAGAAGAGGAAAATTGAAAACAACTAATTAAATCTATGTGGGGATTTTACTTATTGTTTATTGCTGTGAATGTGCATTGCCTGGAAAAATTCATGCTGCTTTTTATGAATGAATACCTGTTTTTTCAATTCTATTTTTTACTTAGAAGTTCTCATGCTCTAGTTGTTTGGAAATAATGGATTTTGGAAATTCTGACGTATAGGACAATGCAAACTGCAGTGGGAGCCTTTGGTGGTGAAGGGTATAAGGATGGGATAGACATACCTCCGCTGATGGTGGAAAATGCAGGGGAAAGTCACCATCCTGCAATTTCAAGTCTGAATTGCCCTCCCTTTGTGGCAGTTGAGCTTTGCCGGGAACATTTGGTATGTCCTTGAACTTCTTATAAAAACTAAATCCCTGTATGGACCTTTTGGACTTGCTTTTATACATAGAGAAAACAGAGAAAATAAATTCCGTTTGAGGTAGACACTATATGAAAGAATTTATGCACCATTTCATGTGTTTCTGCCTACAGTTTAGTATGTTGTTGGATCAATTATTTGTCTGGTGTACAATGAATATGGATAGTCAATTTCATGCATGCATAGCATAGGAATGAACTTTGTTTTCTCCACTGATATTAAATGAATGGAATAATTTTACTTCAACTCTCTGTCAAGTATTCTAGTTGAACAGATCCCAATTGGGTGCCATAGTGGATATGCAAAGTCATTATTTTAGTTTCTTACAAGTAGATTGCTCCCTTTTCCTCTGATAAAAAATTTTGAAACCCTAGAATTTTTAGTTTTTTTCAATATTTAACATTGATATTCAATATCCAGCAATACTTATAATACCTGATCAAACTCCAAAACTTTGCTTGTGGAATAACTGATATATCTTAACTATGTATTTATTTATTTTTACTTGGTGCAATTTAAATTTCCCTATTTTCTTCTTTTGAGTGAGGATTTCTAATGCGGCAATGTTTAACTTCTTTACGTCTGTATAAATCTATTGTTAACTATGTCCTATCGGTGATCTAGCTCCCAAAATGTATAACTTGTTGCAAAATATCTGTGGTCGATATCCATGAAATATGCCTGGACACGTAATATGCATTTGAAGGTGCTTCTACTAGTCACAGACTCAGCATAGATGTCAAGATTGGAAGATATTCTTGTTTTATTTCTAATTCTCATCAAGGTTGTGATAAATAATAATAATAATGGTTTAGGCATGTCATTATAAATGCTGGACGTTGGTTGGTTTTGACACCTAAGGTGCAATCCCCATCATATGTGTTGGAGACTTGTAACATAACCCCAGCTTTTTTCGGTTTGCTGGTAAATGTAGGTCATCTGTATTGCTTTCATAGCACATGACACCTTGACTGCAGAAATTCTGAATTTAAAGAAGAATTGATATTGCAGATCCTAGTATAGTTAATGTGAGAAACAACCATAAGTTTGAAATGTGCGTACTTAGAGTTAGGTCATATGGCAGAATTTGCAGCTAATATCAATTGCCTAGAGTTTCTCTTATTTTTGTTGGACTTTTGATGTTATGCCTTACTCCTCTCATTTTAATCTTTTTCCCCTCTAAATACTGAACCGCAGGGAGTCCATCCATGTGATAGAAGAAAAAGCATCAGCGAATATCGGCCTCTCTTTCCTGCAATTGATTTTTCCCTGGCAAGTAGATTGTCTTAATTAGTGTAGCTTTTGTGATCAAGCAGTTATGATTTTCATTTGTTTTACCGACATCAGCAATTGTTATAATTTCGAATTCAACATTGGTTGATTGGAAGAATTCTTGTTTCATTTTTTCCTTTAGATAGAAAGCGATGAGGATATTTTGTGGGAAGCTAAAGCTAGAGAAAAGAATGAAGAAGTTGCAGTTAGAGGAATGAAATTCTTGAACTGGTGAGTGGCCTATTTGTTTCTGCTTAACAAAAATTTCCCTTTCTCCTCATCAACATATGAAAGCAATGAAAGTGTTCAAGCCTGGAAATTGCTAGATCTTACATTGAACTAAAATTGCATTATCCCATAGCTAGCTCATTTACTCCTCACCATTTTTTTCCTTTATCCATTTATCATTTGCTGCAGGTTGTGGACGCGAAAAGAGAGGGAAATTGCAGTTGTTACCCACAGTGGATTCTTGTACCATACCTTAAGTGCTTTTGGGAGTGATTGTCATCCAGCTGTGAAGAATGAAATATGCAAACAGTGAGTTCTGCAAAATGTCCAATGTTAATTAACCATTATGAAGAAGGGTTACAATATAGGCAATATATATTAGTATAGATGCCCGCTTTTTCTATTTTTTTCAATTTGATATTTTTATTTACATTTAGTATATCTTTACATGACAAGAACAGAGGAAAACTGTTTCTTGATAGATCTACTTAGCTTTGAAAGTTGAAATTACTGATAAATCGAAATCTTGTATTTGAGGTCCATGCATTTTCTCTATTTTTGCTCTGTCTACTTGTCCTCTGCTTAATGGAGTGCAATTCTATGTCTGACTGAAAGACATGAAGTTTAAATTTATTTTCCCTCACATGCAGGAAATCTTAAATAGTGAAATGTATTTTTTTTGGGGGAAAAATTTTAGATTATAACAGGTTTGAATCAGAGTTTGCTGAGGGATTTCCCTTAGATAACCCACCAATTGCATACTTATTCAAAACCTTGGATTGTTGCAGACTAATAAGAAGATTTTGTTATGTCTTTTGCAGCTTTGCGAATTGTGAGCTTCGCTCTGTAGTTATTGTTGATAAAAGGTAAGCAAGATATTTTAAAAGCTTGGTGGTAGAATTCATTTTATTGCTCATGTGCAATTGTTGAAACCTGTTCTTTTCATCTCTTTTTTCCCTTTTTTTGTGCTTTACTTTTTGTTGCAGTATGATGGGATCAGATCCCGCAACAACTAACTATCCTGGAAAAATCCCTAGTGGACTTGATCTTCCAAGTGATGTTGCTGATGAGAAGCATGCAGAGGAAGGAGTGGCCACGTAGTTATCAGTCTGGAGAGATGACCAATCAGGAATATGAGTTTGACATCCATATATGATTCTTTCCAAGTTTTCTGAGATAATTGTTTCGTTACAAAAACGTTAGGTTCTTGAAAATTTTGGAAGCTCTCAAGCTATGTTAGGCAATTATTCAAGTATATGTCACATCAAAATGCTTTAAACACTCACAAGTATCAATTCTTTATAATAGAAAACTTGAGCCCCTGCATTCTATTATTGTCTTTGGGAGAGTGTGTTTAACGTTGCATCGTTGTACAAGTATGTCTGTACTCTGTAATATGGCTGGCAGTATCATCAATTTTCCTTTGACCTGTGTGGGTTTGATCAAGTGGCTTCCAGCTCTTACGGCGGGGTTAAAATTAATACAGACTTTGACTCCAATTTTTAATTGACTTCTGTATTGGGGTTCTGAAAGGCATTGATGTGTGGCTGATCCATGATCTAGAATGATTGAGTTCCCGCAATCAAGGATTAAACTCACATGACTCTTATAGGGCTCAGTATACCTGCTGCATAAGAATTCCATCAAAATGAATGGGAATGAAAGCTGGAAAGCTGGAGGCTAATCATACTGAAGTTCATGCAAACTGATAAGGCTCCTGATTGCACGTCTCTAGAGGGCTGTTCAGATAATGATGGTGAGAAAACACTTCCTTGTGCCTGGCCTGATAAATGAAATGTCAGGAGGTTCTCATGTTTCATGCATGTCCTATCAAGGACATCGTGTGTCAATTTTGAAAGCTCCTCACCTGTCTTGTTTGTGCATTTTTCTTGGCTCTGAAAGAAGAAAAACAGGATGAGATCACGTTGGAACTCAATCCCATTTTTACCTTCTAGATTACCGTTAAACTTTTTCTTTTTAAATACAAGCAGCAGTCGATTTTTTTCTAAAGTCTGATCGGCCCAACTACTTGAGCTGTTGGCTATTGACCTTAAAGTCACAAGTCCAACCAAGCAGGAGCGGAGGGTAGCTAGTTAACCAAAAAATTTTAAAATATTTTATTTATTATATATATTTTAATTAAGACATATCTAAAACTTAGTAGTAGTCTACCAACAGGAACAACCAAAATTCAGAGTAATTTACTTTTAAAGTTCTCTTATTTACAAAAAATCTTAACAAGTATTGATTGTCATCCTTATTAAAAAGACTGCACTCTAACTATACATCAATATCAAAAAAAAAAATTAATTCATTTCTCTAGTCTTAATTTACCTACTAATATAGAGAGTTTTTATCAATTTTCAAACCAGTAATATAGTGTATAAATACGAGTCTTGAAGGGTTGCACATGTTATCAAGCAAGCATTGTCTTTTTATTGTTATTTTATTTTTTGTATAACTCACTACTAAAACACATTTTATTTTTCAAATGTTAAGCACAACTGTCCTTAAAAATTATTATAATTTTTTTTATTTTTTTTTATATATATGTTATATAAAATTATTTTATATTATGAATCTTTTACTTATTGATTAAATTTAATATATTAATTTTAAAAATGTTTAATTTTTAATTTTTTAATTTTTTACCATCCTAACAAAAGTTGACTAGTTTCAACCCTGCAACCAAGCCTGCCTTAATCAAAGGCTGAGTTTAGATGACTCATTTCCTTGATTGCATTCGTAATAAAAAAATCATTTTTAATAATAATTTGAAAAGAAGAAAGACAAGAAAAGAAAGCATGAATGATCGCGTAACGCAATACACATGAGTGGAGGGTTAATGCTTCCGTAGAAGCAAATGTCACTAGTAATGAAGAAGGTAGCTGACTAGAGGAGCCTATCAAAAGAAGGAAGAAAATTGAAATTCCTGAACTCCAAAGTCGACAAAACTTGTCAGATTGTTAACCTATGAGAATTGCCATGAAGGAGTTCTTTACTGTTTTTCAGAATACTCGTCTCGTTAAAACACCAAAATAGAAAGAGAACCAAAAGAAAAAAAAAATCAAACTAAACTAGCTGCCGACGCCCGCCGGCTTGGGTTGACGAGTTTTGTCTGACTATTTCCTTCTTCGGACAATCAGACCTTTAAGCTGTTGACGTTTTCTGAATTTTCTTTTCTTTCGTCTCAGTTTCTGCTCTTCTTTTCCTCCCCTCGTATTGCTCTGGGAAAAACCCGCATGCTTATTGCTCTTCTTTTTCTTGCATAAGTGCATGCTCATTGCTTTAGTTTCTGATCATTCCTTGTCCTTGAATTATATACTAGTATAGACTATAATTGTGTAAGGTCATGTGGAAATTGTATGCCCTGTGTCAACTTGCGGTTTGATTATTGTCAACTTATAAGCTCGGAAAAATCTAAAGGTAAATAGTTGCTTGTTTTGGTTTTGCTTTGCTATCTCTGCATATGCATCTACCAGGGAAATTTCTCTGTTCAATATATTCCTTAAAAGGATCATATTTCGTCATGGGTCTTTAGTCGTCAACAAGGTCTTCTCATGGCAGGTTTTCTAGACAAGGCTCATTTTTCTCTTATTAGTGTTTGAGACATTAATAGGTTTTAGATTTTCATGCTCGAAAAAGAAGAGGGCCGGGGCTTGTTTTCTTCCATGGTAAGCCTGGTCAATTCGATGCATTGAAATATAGTATCTAGTGTTCAACTTTGCACAGCTACGAGGAGAATTACTTCCGGCACATTATTTGAATCGACAAACCTCTGATTCAAGTACATTAGTCATGTCCTTTTTTGTTTTTTATTTACTTGTTTGGTTAGACTTTAGAACTCAAACAAGGATTGAAGAAGGAAAGAAAGAATTCTTTATTATAATAGTCTATGGGACTATGGCAACAGAAATAATAGATTTTAAAAGCTTGGATTAGTTGCTTAGGAATGGTCTTACATTAAATTCCCATTGGTAGCTCCGTCTAGTACTCTAAGCCAAATTTCACCTTCCATTCATTTATGGTTCTTCGGTCTTTTTCGTTTTTCTTTTTTGGTTGTCTTTATCTTGCTCTGTTTTTTCACATTTGCAGAAATGGATAAAATTGCAGCAGCTCCATCCCCATACCCGTTTGTCAGTCATAAAGTTCTCCATCTGGTTTGTTCTCTAATTATTTTTCATCAAGGAAACCTTTCTTTTCCTTATTTTGCGCCGATTGTCGTGGGGGGGAAGGGGGGGATCAGAGATGCACGCAAAAGAAGCTAGAAACATAAAAGAGCGCTGCTAAGCCAAATTATGTGAAGTTTAGACAAGCTAGCAGCTCCAAACTGGATGGAATCAACAATGATATCTATCAAGTTATTACTATTTTGTTGATTTTTAGTTAATATTTACAGCAGTTTGTTGTGTATGTGAACATTCAGGTGAGGCATGCACAAGGTGTCCACAATCTAGAATCAGAGAAGAGTCGTGATCCACTAACATCATTTGAATATGTTGACGCTGAACTCTCCTCTCAGGGCTGGCAGCAGGTGATAGACAGCTTCCGATTAGAGTCATTTATTATTTGTATTACTTTTCTGTGTCGTCTTCCAGAAGAGTGCTGTAATGAGGATATTGTCAAATATAGTGGTTCTGCCGTTACACATCTTTGAAACAGGTTTGTGATCAGCGGAGATATGTTTGTGCAAGTGGACTGCTCGAGAGGATTGAGGTCGTCATCACTTCCCCTATGTCAAGGTACCCGAGTTTTCCTCATATTTCAGTCTCTCCTCTCTCAAATATGACTTAATTACATCCTTGAATATCGCTATCACCCTGACTTCGTCTGGAAATCCCTGAAAACAGTTTAGTCTCTCTGAGGGATGTTCTTGTAACCAATCTTCCTCTTCTTTGCAACAAACCCAATTTATATGCCTCATTTGCTCTAGTACGACACTCTTTTCTTAAATCATCTCACCGTGAAAATGTTTAGATAATGGTAATTGAAGGCAGGCTTCAACCTCTCATGCTTCAAGAGTTGATTTGGATGAACTTCAAAGTCAACATAATATTCTACAAATTTAGCATATATATCTAACAAATGTTCCCGTTGTTGTAGCCCCATTGATGTATTTTAATGGTTAAATTGCAGGACATTACAAACAGCAGTTGGAATTTTTCGTGGTGAAGGCCAACCAGTTGATCGGTTCGATGCTACTCCGTTTGAGGAGGAAAATGTAAAGAATGCTGAGACATCGACTTTCAATCGCCTACCAATCATATCATATGAACTTTGTCGAGAACGTATGGTATGTTGCTGACATCTAACTACAGCATAGGTTACGCAGGCCCACATGCCTCTTCTCATAGACTTGCACAGCATTATAACAGCTATGCATTTATGATTGAGAACATGCTGGACAGACATGATTATCGGGGTCATTGTTTTACACCATTTCCTTTTGGCATTCACCATTAAATAATCCTCATCCACCCGTTAGTCAAGCAAGTATGGACCATGTTGTCTTCTCTTCACATGGAGGATGCACTCTTTAGTTGCTATGTTTGGTTGGAAAGAAAGAAAAATAGTAGAGGAAAGGTTAAAAAGTAATGAGAAAAGGGCAAAAAGAATGGAGAGGAAGGAAAATTGTTTTTCCATCCTTGCATGTGGTAGGAATGATGAGAAAAAAAAAAGGAAAAAAAAAGATTTTAGGTAAATTTTGAATTGAATAAAATAGTTAATTTAAGTTGAATGAGAAAATTAAACGGAAGAGCAAAGAGCAAATATACCTATTTTCTAATCCTATCAAGAAAGAAATATTATTTTCCTTTTTTTTTTCTTTCTTCCCTCTTACCAAACATAGCAAAGTTGTTGAGTTATGAAAGCTTGTGTTTTCTTGTTTTTTTTTTTTTTCTCAAGTCTAAAATGTTGAATTCAATGTAGGGAAAAAATGAATGTGACAAGAGAAGATCCATCAGCCTGTACCGTTCTCGTTTCCCTGATGTTGATTTTTCACTGGCAAGTGTTCTTTAGCCACAGTTTTTCCCGCGGTCTTGATTGCATTCCATTGATCTTAAAATAGCTTGCTGCCCCTTGACTACAAGTTTTCATAAACATTAATACTACACTTCTAATGTTCAGATTGAAAGTGAAGATGACGTTTTGTGGACAGGAGAAAAAGAATCCCATGAGGCAGTTGTAGCTAGAGGAATGAAGTTCATCAAATGGTGAGGTGCTCAAAATCTTTTTCCATTGGCTACAAAACTTGGGCCGGCTGTTGTCACACATGATCACAAAAACCATAATTGCAGCAATCTAGACAAGCAGTGTTGATCATGAAAACCAGATTGGCACATAGAAGTTATTATTGCTACTTCTTGGTTGAAAGCAAAAGCCACTTGTACTCAACTTGCCTTTAATTTTCTAGGTTGTGGGGACGGAAGGAGAAGGAGATAGCCGTGGTCAGCCATGGTGTGTTTCTGCAGCAAGCAATGACTGAACTTATTAAAAGCAATAAGTGTTACCCCTTAATGAAAGGTGATCCACTCAGCCGGTGAGTATCATATTTCTCTTTAATTCATGAGTGCTAAATTGACTGACTGCATATTGTCGTCACCACACCTTGATCGAAACTTTGACTCCACAACCTCTTTGCTGGATGCCTAAGCTATCCTCTTTTATTATTCTTTCTTATCCATATTAGGTAGCAGAGGATTAATTTCACACTCCCATTTTTGTTTCCTTATCTTTGATTTTCTTTTTATATAGCTATGTCTAAGTCTATACCATCAACTTTATAACACAATATCGACCGACAACAACCTTTTTTATTCATGATATTGTAAGCATGAAACATGATTTTTCTAATCTAACTAACTCATATAATTGCGTTTTGTTGTATTATTAAGCAAATATTAGAACGACCTTTACCATTTTTCTATCCTTTAAGGTTACTACCAATAAGATTAATTTGATAAAGTACCTTTATGCATGCTTTGTAGTGTATCTTGTATTCATATGAATGTGAAATATAGTTTTATTTCGGCATTGGGTGTGTTACCATTGACTCGCTTTCAATGTTTTTAATTTTAATTAATGACTAATCACGAGGCAACTATTAAACTGTTCATGCAGCTTTAAAAATTGTGAAATCCGATCCGTAGCGCTTTTTTATGAAAGGTGAGCCTGCAAATTTAGTATTATTTTAAAAAAAAATTAAAGAACAAAAACTTGAAAAAAAATATATATATATATAAAGGCGTTTTGGCTCATTATAGTTTCTCTTTTGTAGCGTAAAGGGTTTGGGATCAGATTCCTTACCAACCACTACCCATTGTGGACGAATCCCTTACGGGCTTGAGCTCCCTAGAGATTCTGCCAAGGAGAATATATCAGTGGAGGAAGTGAGCAATTGATTTCCAGATTGAACACTGACCGCTACATCATAGCTAGTGCTCTCCGAAGGATTTTCCTTTCCATATACTGACCACTTGCCTTTCTTTCCTCGGATACCATATCATTTCCAAAAGAATAATTTAAAAAAAAAAAACCCTGTGATAAGATTGCTACGTCTGTATATATATATATATCTGCATCCTGCATACAAAGGTAGCTAAGAACGCCAAGTCGGCTTATTACTTTATGTTTTGGTCGTTGTTATCAATTTTGTTATGACCGATTTGCCATCGCTGTTGTTTGACTATTGCCAATTGCCAAAGGCGCACTTTTTTTCTTATATTTTTTAACTTTAAATAAGGAAAGGCCCTTCTTAATGACTTTGTGCCCTGTTTTTTAAATTTACAATTTCTACTTTTTGTTCTATTCCTATTCTATCATAGTCAATCAAGTTTCATTAGTTTATCCTCTGCTTGCTTACAACAACATCATTTGGATTTTTCTCCCTAAAATACAAAGAGGAAAGAATAAGACATTGCCATTTGAAAATTTAGACGTTTGATGGGTAATGCCGTTGCCCATCTTTCACAAGCAGATAATATACGTATAATTATATCTACGGGCACACACGATGTTCAACTTATAACAACGTAAACCCTTTGAAATCTTGAAGTATCTAAGATGATCTTAAAGTACTTGTTCATGGCACCTAGGCTCATAAAGTTAATACTTTAAGCTATTGAGTTAATTAAGATAGTATTTGATTCATTGTGACAAAATTATTAGCATCAAGTTTTGAGCTGGGCGTCAACGATAATTGCTGTAGTATCTAACTCTCCTTCTGCCATTCTCATTGTTTGAAATAATTAAGAAACTATGCTGTAAAGTAAACTACCATGATTTGGTTCCATCTACCTTTGTCAACTCCTAAGATGCCGGAGCAACAAATTCAATCCAATGATTTAAGTAATTTATAATATATCTTATCAGAAGAAGGTTTTTTTAAAAAAATTAAAGTTGAATGTTTGTTTTAAAATTTTAAAATTCTAACTTTTGAAAGTGGAACTTGAGTGCGTGCATAAAAAGAGACGTACAATTGGATTAATTTGCTTGGTCCATAAGAACTAATGCTCTCAATTTGGCCCGATGAAGGAAGACTTTTAGACTTTTTTTTAAGTCATTTGGCAAAACGATGGAAAACGGAAACTTAGTCGGCTGAAGCAAGATAAAAAAGGAAATAACTATAGTTGTGGGTGCAACGTTGAGTACCTTAGTCAAACCGTCTTGCACTGTTATTGAGTTGTGGCAGACAGTGGAGAAGACTAACTATCGTTGAGGAAATTCCTTTAAGCTCAGTTGGATATGGAGAAAAATCCAGTGTTGACCTACTTGACATGGTTATCTCAATTCTCAGTGTCCAATCCTAAACAGCTTTGGGCTATATTGACAAGGCCCTAATATGTGAACATGGGAAGGGCCTGGATAATTGTTTTACTTTGGAAAGAGATTACTGGTTAGCTTGTATTAGGCCCTTAGCTTAATTAGTGGGTTAGTATGGATTTTTAAGGAGTTAAACACAAAACTTGATTAATCACTAACATTCTGCGATGACCAGTCTACACTACAATGAAAGTAAATTGAGTTTAGTATGTTTTCCCAATTAAAAGAAATAATATTGGAGATTAATAGGATTTAGCACTACAAAGTTTGACTGATTTTTCAGTCATTTTCTTACTTTTTTTTAATTATTAAGGTGCATCAGTTTTTTCCTCCATCTCTGCCGTTAAATCAATATTATGTTAGATCCAAGCCAAATCCTCATCAACTATTCAGTGATACTCTCACCCTTCCCCCTAGAAAATTTATAATGTGCAAGTATGGCAGGGATAACTTTGGGTTCCAATCCAATGGCTGGGAGGTTCGGGTGTGTGCCTACAATTTGGGTCCCAATAGGATTAAGAGGATAAAGACATTGGCCCAAATGCATCTTAAGAATAAAACCATTGGGTTTGGACCTGGATTTGCATTCCTAGTCTTGTCTACCAACTTGATTTTTGCTTCAGCTATTTTACAAGTGAATTCTTTCAGCAACCCATTAGTCTCATTGCACTTTGAACCTTTTTTGTTTTCTCTTTTATTTGTTTAATTTTTTTGGGCCAATATTAAAACTATATGCTAGAATTTAAGGTTGTTTATTGTTTTGTTCTCTTGTAAGTATATTACTGTATTGCAGCTGCTGAGGCGGCGGGTTTACTAGGTCATGATAGGGGAGCTTTCTTTATTTTGCTTTCGGCTTAAAATCAAAAGATTAGTGGGAAACCCAATGCATAATCCCAGTTTGAACTTGACCAGAGGCTGTTTCTCCTCATGAGGATGCTCTGAGGCTTTATTATGATTCCCTACATCTCTTTAATTAGGGCTAAAATTATTAGAGCTTCTGGCCGGGGCTTGCTAGTTTCTAGTTATTTTATGGAGTATGCTTGGATCAAACACTACTCCAAGATTTTGACAAAATTACTTCACATTCTTCAAATTAAAAAAAAAACTAAAGCTACTCCAAGTAAATTAATTATTAATAGTAAAATAAATAATTAATTATGTTACGGATATCATATTAGTAAAAGATGACGTAGTTCTTGAGTATATAAATATGAATTTTTTACTACCTATTAACAATGACTTTTGGGTTAAGAACGTGAACTTATGATTTATAAGCTTATTTAAATTCTATTTTCAGAATTTAAAATCATACGATATTGGACTTAAGTTTTAACTAATAATATTTGATATTGGAGTAGATTTATATCTTCACTGATATGAATTTCATGAAAAAAATGAGAGTCAAGGTAGATTTGAATTAGTGTAAAAGTTTTCTCTTTTATGAGTAAAGAGTCTTTTACGAATAAAGAGTCATTGTAACAAAAACGTTGTACAATTGAGTAGAGTAGAATGTTATCTATATTAAAGATGATGGGTTTTTTAATTTATAAATATGAATTTTTCATCATGTATCAAGCATATCTTTTAAATTAAAAACAGTTACACATTATTTTTAAATTTACTTAAATATTTATTTAATTTTATTTTCAAAATTTAAAACTACATGAAATTTGACTATGTATGTTTCGGTCACAATAACTATTCTCTAAAATAATTAAACGCAATGATTCGGACCAACTGACTCAGTCATCATTATTTGTTCCAACATGTTTATGTGGACGCATACTTAACCTAAAAAAGGCCGTAATTATGAAGGTTTGAAACTTTGAACACCCAATTCAGTAAAGGTCTTTGCAGGGTCATTCAACTGATGCATTATTCTTTATTTATTCATTGCCTTATAATATTTGTTCCTGATTGCCTCTCTCTCTCTCTCTCTCTCTCTCTCTCTATATATATATATATATATATACACACACATACATATACACAAAGAAAACTATAATTTTTCTGTCTTCAATATTTGTTCTTTTAAATTGTTGGTTAATCCAAAGCCCATTGAGCCGGAGCTCAAAATTAAAGATGGTAGGGTAGGGGGACGAATGAATGGCAGTTCTATCTGTACAAATCCAGGCCACCTAAATGATTTAATTATTTTTTTAAAAAAATTTGTTAATTTTATTTATTGTACTAGTTTATGTCGCAATTTAGATTCAATAGTATAAGTCAGCACATTAAAATATACGAATATTTTATAACATTAATATTCTGAGTTGTTTTATCACACTTGTTAATACGCTATTATTATACATATACATAGTATATATTATATTATATTATATTGTTACATCTTAAATTAGCACATATGTAGACATGGGTTGAGACTTATAAAAAAATTAATACTTTTGTCTAAGATTTTTCCTATGAAAATGCAAAATAGAGAGTGTTCAGTTTATTGATCTGATTTATATATACACAAGAGACCAAACTGAAACCTTTGCTTGGGCAGCTTCATTAATGGGGCATGCTTTCAAGTACTAAATCAATTGAAAAGGAATTGAGTAGGTTGCTATATATATATATCCATCAAGAAAATTCCTTAAACAATACAAGTATTATCAATTAATGCTTTTACTGAAAATTAATGCAGATATATATCCTGAATGTTTGACGGCTTCTAATAGAGCAAAGTAGCCGGAGAATGGTCCGCAGTGTAAATTGCAGTCGAGTTTCAAAAGAAAAAGCTAGGAAAAACAAGGAAATTAACAGTAAAACAAAAAACGAGAACAAGTAGAACGGGACTAGGAAGACTCTGTAGAGTCCCGCGTACAGCATGGTTCACACGTACACAGTCAAAAAAACCCATAATCCCTGCTTTACGTTGCATGGATTGAATATTATTACTACTTCTACCAAGAATCAAAGTAAACCCCTACATGTTCCATGCTCTTCCGCTGACGCGTCACCATTCCCATTGCCCTCCCTTCCGTTATATATTTCAGCCTTCCATCCCTGCCCATGGCGTTATACAAACAACGTTTTCCAAATTTCCAAAGCGCGAGTATAGAGCCTGTCTTGTTTCTTCCTCCCCAACTAATCTTTTCCCTCGATTTCTTTATTCTAACTTTTCTGGTAAGCTGGCTAGCAGTTGCATATCAATTACATTTGATTAGTTTAATTACGATGTGGGTTTTCTAGGAAATGTTCTGCCTACTGTATGTAAATGAAGGAAAATTATAGTATATCAGATTAGATTTTGAGAGTTGTTGGGTATAGAAGTCAAACTGTATTTTCAAAGTCCCTTCCATTGACATTCACATTACTTCCTTCTTTCACCAAATAAGGAATGTTATGAGCCGGTTACGTCCTCTCTATGTCCTTAAATTCCACCATTTTTCCTTCTCCTTGACTTCGGCTATCGAATATGCATGCTCTCATAATTATTTAATTAGTTGTAATGTGTAGAGATATGAACCAGCCTAGAAAATACTGAAAGTCTCTCTATATAAGTAGCTAGCTTTATAGGTACATATTACAATCTCTCATTTCTAGCTATTTGTGTCATTGACATTTCTCTTTTTGCTCCATTTCCTTTCTTTTTGCAAGAAGCAGTTTTTGTTCTTTAATTCAATTTCCGTTTGCACAGAAGATGGATACCACAGCTGCTCAATTTCCATACCCATGGCAGCGTTGCAAAATCATTCACTTGGTATGTATGTATATATAGTTGTATATTACTACCAATTCTTTTGATACTATTAAAATTACCTTTCATGGATGTAGAGTACCTATTGGGAATGCTTGAAGCTACCTAGTCCTAGACCCCGCATGCAGTAAAATTTTGTTCAGTAAATGGCCTTTTTTTATTAAACCATAGACTATATTATTTTTAGGTGAGGCACGGACAAGCTATGCATAATGTAGAAGGAGACATTAATCGTGAGGCACTGTTGTCTCCTCACCTATTTGATGCAGAACTCTCCCCACTTGGGTTGCAGCAGGTAATAATAATTAATGGCTTGTTATCATCAAACTGTCATAATCGATCCAACCTGAATGAACTCCACAACTATTTTTTGATATAATCATTGTTCAATCTTTCCACTTTCCTTCAGGTTGATAGACTGCGAAAGGAAGTTCATGCTCGTGGGCTGCTGAAGAGGGTTGAGTTAGTAGTCACTTCCCCATTGTACAGGTATAAAACTAGAAATTGCCTGAACTTCAAACTTTTGCGAAGGACTTTGTAGGTTTTGAGATTAGTACTTGTCAAGTTCCATATCCCAAGCTCAAGATCCAATCTATGGAAAAACAAATCAAAGAAACATTTGCTTGTTTCAAAAATTTTTTAACATGGCTAATGTTGGTGTAATCACTGCAGAACAATGCAAACAGCTTTTGGAGTTTTTGGTAGTGAAAGCCATGGAGAAGGAGCTGCAATATCAGCTGTCAATTGCCCAGAAATTATGGCAGTTGAGCTTTGCCGAGACAAAATGGTATGGCTGATATCTATCATGTTAGGCGATTTCTTAACATATCATTACCTGAAATCCACCACTGTTTGGACTTTTATATTGATGCATTAATTCCTTTACTGAAGGGGGTTCGTCCTTGTGATATGAGGAGAAGGGTCAGCGAGTGCCAGGCTCTTTTCCCTTCGCTTGATTTTTCAATGGCAAGCACTTTAGCTACTCTATCTTTAACAGGATTTAAGATTCTGATATCTTCAGTATTTTATCCTGGTTAAAGAATTCAAGTTTCACATGGGTCTTTTTTCTTTTGGTCTTCGTTCAGATGGATGGGGAAGAGGATTCCCTGTGGAATCCGGACGTTCGAGAGCCCGATGAAGAAGTTTCTGCGAGGATGGCCCAGTTTATGAAATGGTAATAACTCGGAATTTTCTCTCAGAACAGTCAAAAGGAAAATCTCTCAGAACAGTCAAAAGAAAAATCGTGGGTTTCAAATATGCAAATCTAATACATTAATAATTCAACTTTCTTTCAATTTATCCCATATTCCAGGCTGTGGACAAGGCCAGAGCAGGACATTGTTATTGTGAGCCATGGCATAATCCTGCAGCATATCCTGTATGTACTTGGAAATGACTCCCACCCAACGGTTAGATCAGCTTTATGCAAACGGTGAGCATTAATTAATTGTCTATATATATATGTTCTCCTCTCCTTTAGACAAAACTTGATTCTTCGCTTGCCTTCGAAATTCTTCAAAGTTTCTGACTGATGAAGGAATGCCTTTGATCTGTATTTTCAGCTTTAGCAATTGTGAGCTTCGTTCGGTGGTTATTGTGGACAAAAGGTAACCATTTGTTTGTAAATTTATAGACAATCCGATCGACAACCTTGTATGCTTTTAATTTCAAATGCTCACTTACTGGTTTTTGCAACATGCAGCCTAATGGGATCGGATTCACCTCTTTGATCACCAAGAGTAGTTGCAAAAGAGAACGCGTTAAGGAAGCTTCCAACTAATTGGAGTCTCTTGACTTTTGAAACATTAGACTCACTCTGTTAAATATAGGGGTTAGTCTCAAAGGATTCTTTCATCTTCTTACCAAATTGCATTCTTTTCCTTTTAAGGTTGTTTGATCAATACAAGTCTGTTTCCGTTGTAAAATAATTGATTGTTTAACATGTGTTCTCTATTCTTTATACATGGTGAATAAATATGTATTTTGTCAAATTCAATGTACACTCACTGTCCTGTTGGGCAAATTGTAATTGGAGTAGAATAATTTATGGAGAATCAGCATTTCTGCTTGTTTTCCAATCTCCGTCTCTGCTGCAAAACGAAAGCAATATGACTCACAAATTGTTCAAATTTCTTGTAACATGTATCAAATCTTTAGCACCAACAACTTATACTAAAAGCAAATGGCTTAAATAGGCATCATGTGATCAACTTCAGAGTAACAACATTATTCATTAGGACAAATGAGGGAAACTACAATGGATGTCTTTTCACCCAAAAACTGCCATTTGTTTCAAACGATTCCACTGGCACAGACATGAGTTTGATGTAGGGACAAAATTTTCTTTTTCTATCTTCTTGGTGTGCCGTCTTTAATAGATGAAGAGGTGTTGTGTTGGTTAACAATTTGAAGTAATCAAACTTAATCGAACACTACTTGATATATGATTGATTTCTCAGTGTACTCCATATTACTCATTGCACTATGATTTCCTGACAAGTGTGTAACCTACTATAACTGAGAGGAGGAGGAAGAAAACAGCAGCAATGAAGTTGACTTTGGGTGACTTGATGGATTTCTGGCTATTTTCTGCACTGATAATTTCTTTGCTCTTTTCTTGGGAAGAGCTAGGTGCTGAAGAGCAGGGGACTACTACATCCCAAAAAGATCTAGTGATCACTCTTAGGGCTTCTTCTTCGGGTTCCAAGATTGTTGAGGCATCATTTGGAGCTTCCATGGACATCAACTCAACACAATGATCTTTTAGAACCTGCACAGCATGCAAGCACTAAATCAGAACATTCTCTAAACAAATGAAAATTTTGCTCTTTTGAAAAAAGACAAGAATAATAACAATAATATTAATAACAAACCTCAAGTGTCTCGGACGATTGTAGATAGTCACTGATAAATGTACCCGCCAACCAAGGAACAAAGACCCTCCGAGGAAATGAAAGATTGCAATTTTTCCTATTAGGAATTGTTTAGCATCCAGCAGATATCATCAATATTGCACAAAATAAGCAGAATATGTCAGCTTTCATTCTTTCAAATTGTTAATGAGTAAAGCAAGACTGAATTAACAGGTTATCTCTGAGGTGCAAGCTTGAAAATGCAGAAAATAAAAAAGGTATAAAGCAAGTGAAAATCGTGAACATGTAAGCATCAATAAATAAAAGCACATGCCATTTCGGGAAGTTGCTTGGGGTACAGATGTGGCAAATACTCCCTATTTTTGCTTATGTAATCAATAATGCTGCCACAACATGGTCGAAATCTCAACCTTAGTAGTATAAGCCATGATAATAAACGATGCACAGTAATTCAGTTGAAGGACGACCGTAGCAGGGATCTAAACAACAGAAGCATCATTGCTCAAATGGATTGATAGAGAAAACGGAAAATTAGCAATTGATTGACTGAGACAAGAAATAAACATTCTAATCACAGTTAGGTTCTTTTAGCTAAAATAAAGACCATATATTAACAACACAGCTAATGCACCTCAAGGAATGCAAAACAAGTTCGGAAACAGGCTTTTCAGATGATAAGTCATTGCTTTCTTCAGTAATTCCATTGTCAGTTGGCCCTAGATCTCCATCTGCTTCATCACAAATGATATCCAGCCTGCTTTGCAAACTCCTGATGATATCATCCTGATCACAGCCATGTCAGATTGAACAAGACAAGAATATCAAACCCATGTGGCTCAAGAGAAAAAGACCGTTCATTTTTCTTGGATTGAAAACATATAAAAAACCTTAGACATTAGCATTCCAAGATAGTCCTCATCGCAATATTAAAGAATGACAACAAGATGGTTTTTGAGAATTTAGGTAGTGATATAAATGAATAGAAACTGCACCTCAATAAAGATGAAGGGAAGATAAAATATGCTAGGTGCTTATTTAAAGCCTACCAAATGAACTATGACATGTCAAACAAGAAAAAATACTACAATACATGAAAAAACTTGCACCATATAAATGCACACAAAAACATAAGTTAAGAATGAGAGGCATGCTGATTTTAATTTCAAACAAGGTGACATAAGGCTCAAAAAGACTCTTCCAACCAAAGTTTTAGTGGCAATATGTTATAAGTGTCTTTGGATGGGCAAGAGGATCTGAAAACCTAGGAATCTCAAGGCACATATTTGTACTGAACTTGGTCAACAGGCCTAACTCAACTAAAACCAGATAATTCCATAAATTGAATCCCAATTTTTCTGTTGCAGGTATCTATTTGGATAAACATTTGGAAACATACTTAATTCAGTCATTTTTCATATTCATCTCATGTAGAGAGGCAACATCTAATTCTATTTATTTCTCAGGACAGGCATTTCCAAACTCTTGAAAGTTGAAAAATTAAAGCAAGACTGAGTTATCATCTAAATCAATAAATAAATTTCAAATTAGAAGTAACACAGTACCTTTATATCAGCAATAGCCTGTGAAATTGGTTCCTTGGAATTCAAGAATGAAAAGGAACATACTGAGCCAATAAAACTTACAATGCCTATAACATCTTTCTGGCTGCATGCTTCACAAAATATAAACAAATTACTAAATGTTAGAAATAATAATAGAACAATGTGAAATCATAATCAAGTTCAAAATTGGAAAAACCAGAGCACCTTCAATATACGTATCCTTCATGAATGGTAGAAGCAGCTCCACTTCATGCAAACCATCTGTTTTGCATGTCTCATCATTAACAACCTAAACATATAAATAGGATCAGAAAAAATTACTAACAAGAGGGGAAGAATTTATTTAAAACTTAAGGATGCAAATGTAGATTAGAGCGACTGTCACCAGGTTTCCATCAATCATGGCTTTTGCCCCTCGCAGCTCTTTTGCATAAATTGAAATTGCATTGCAGAGAACATCACTAAGCATCTGGGAATTGGATGCTTTCCCTTGATATATTGGCAGTCTGGGAAACATAACTCCGTCAATAAGAAATGCCTATAAACATTATTTTGATGCTAGAATTGGTCAGCTGAAGAATCTCACCATATATATCAAGAGAACCAACAATGTGGAAGAGAAACTAAGTTGCAAGTTAGGACTTGTTATACAGTAAGCCTGATGTTTTAGCCAAAAGGACCATATAGAAGCCATGACCAAGCTGGCAAGAATACATGCTAAGACAAGTAGTGTGAACTACACATGGACCTAAGGACAAGTACAACTAGTCTTCTTACACCAAATAATAGAACTTCGCAATGGTAAAGAACTTTGATTAAGATAAAGTAGAGGAATAGATAATACAAGTTACCTAAGATCAAAGTTGTACAAGCACTTGAAAGTTTGAAGGGAAGTCAAGACTCTTCCCATTTTGAAGTCACAAGGCTGCAAGCTGCTTGATGTGATGTTTGAGGACAGTGTACAATTCCGACATGTCCATCTACAAAAAGTGTATTTTTAAGTCAAAATGTGAATGAACTTTAATAAAATGAAGAAGTGGAACGTTTTTGACTAAAAACAACTATGGACCTTAAATCTTATAAATACCTCCTTGGACTGTAAGATATGTGAATAAGCAGTCTTTCATCCATGTCATCATCACAAAATGATGCTGCTGCAGCAACTCCTTTCACTGTCTGCGAAAACCATTCCATTTACTTGAGATCATACATCGGTGAAAACAAAACTTCAATGAAATTTTCAAGCACGAAAACACGCCAAACTCGTAATAAAATGAAGCAAACCTGGCAAAGCACCATGGTAGAATTCTTGAATGCGGCCTCACTAGCCCACACATAAATACCCACTACTTTCATTCCACCCACCATCATTCTCGACACCTTAATGCAACAACATTTACAAAATTTATTTATTTAAGGAAAAAAAAAAAAGAAAAACCGCATTCAATTACATTATTCGAAGTTAAAAAAGAAAGGGTACCTGGCGAGCGTGTTCAGCGACCCAATCCTTGTCAATGACCAAAGAAGAGGAAGAATCAGATGTCCGAGATTTGGGTTTCGACCCCTTTTTACTGTCGGATTTGGACGCCTCCAAAACCGAACAAACTGGCTGCCCAGCATCGTTCTGAGGTGTTGGTACTAAATCGAACACGAAGCCTCGTTCCAGAGTGGAGCTCAGCTTCCCTATCACCAGACCAACCTGGACTTATAGCCAGAATTTTAATATTTATATCTGTACTTTTATTTCAATTTTTGCATAAAAAACATAAAATTGAAAAATGAAATGGATTGGAACCTGGGCAGGAAGTGAAAATTGGGAGAGGCGATCCTCAGCTAGCTGGAGTTGAGTTTCGTCTCCGACCACAGCTTTCACCATGATTTTTGATTGTCACTAACAACAAGATCGAATGACTTCGGATTTCAGTCCCCGGCCTAAGGAAACGTTACATCATTCAAGAAGAAGAAATCAAGAAAAATATGAGAAACGGCGCCGTGCGGCCTTTAACAGGCACGTTGGATGGGGGATTCTTGTAGCTTTTGGGTCGGCCTCGGACTTGGGATTCTTGTAGCTTTTGGGCTTTAATGGGCTTCGTCAGCTCTCTCCTTTGGGCTTTGGTTGTCCTAACTCATTCAAGTAAAACCTTTCTTAGTATTATTTACGTACAAATAAATATAAGATTGTTAAATGAAAATGCAAAACTAGCGTCTTAATATTAGATTTAATTTAAGAATAATCTCAAATATCCCACTCTTCAACCCTTACCTTGGCCAAACTTAACTTCAAACTTTATTGACGTTGACATTCTCTTTCCATGTTTTCCATATTCGATATTCGCTCGGGAACTGCGAACTGCCATGCCAATGTCTGCTGCCATTGCTTCAAGCTTTTTTGACTTGTACTTTGTCTTTGTTTCTTCCTCTCTCTTTTGAACAGTTTTGAAGTGAAACGATCCCCCAATTTACCCCACTGCATTTGCAGCACAAGAAGCGGAAAAAGACCATCAGTTCAGCGCATTAAATTAACGTTCGTATCCACATGGGAATAAGGGTGTATTTGCTGGAGCCATTGCCGCCGGGAATATGGTAAAAACCCAACTGTTCTGAGTTGGCCTTGCCATAAATTTAAAAATAGTTTGCCATTAAAATATTATACCCTTTTTTCTTTAGAGTATGCGTGAAACAAGGTTCTTTCCCAAGTTGGAAAGCATTAAATTAAATTAAATTAAAATTAAATCAGAATTTGTCATCTAATCAACGGGAAGGAGCCTGCCCCTTGACCTTCTTGAGGATGGGTCCGCCGCAACATTTTTGCACTTTGCTCCAAACCTTCAACAACATAAGCTGGTGGTGTAAGATTTGAGAAGGGGTTTTGGATAAGAGGCTGGAAAGTTCAGTAATGCGATTGTGAGTGCAGTGTTAGCTGATGGAATACAAAAAATATCCCCTTCAGAATTTAGCGCAACTTAAGCCAGGGCTTTGCCCAATTGATTGGCTACACATAATGACGAAATTTTTTTTGATAAGGATCCAAAATAGAGGACAACACCGTGATGGTGCAGTTAGGTCCACCAAAATTGTTAATTTTGCCTAATATTTTCAAATGAAACCTCTATCAAGTTTTTAAAATAATATTTACGGTTATTATATTGTAAAACAATCAAGAGTTTAAATTTTTTAATAAAAAAAAGAATTTTATTTTTAAATAAAAAATTATATATTAATTAATAAATATGATTTTAACCTTACTTTTTAAATAAAAAATTATCATTAATCAATGAACATTGTTCGGGTGCAGCTTGAAAATTATGTTGTCTTTGAGCGAGTTCAAAATTAAATTTCCAATTCAATAAGGAAATGAGAATGGAAGGGTAGGGTTAGCGGACTGGAAAAAAAGGGAGGGAAATTTCTATCGTTTGTATCCAACAGACCCGACCAACCTCATCTAACACGCAGCTGAGGAACAGCTGCTTTGAAGTGATTTCCCCTTAGATAATGACTTATCATCTACCTACCCTTTCTGTCTACAATTTTATGACATTAGAAAGCTTAATGCTTCCTTAATCTATGGTAATTCCCCATAATTTTATTGCTGTTAATGATCTTCTCTCTGTCACACCTTTTTTTTTTTTTTCTATATTTTTGGTAGCTTTAGATTTTGTTTAATTGTACCTTTCACCCGCTGGACCCACCACCAACAGCTTCACTCACTGGCAGACAAAAAGCGAATAAGTCCGCTGCTCTGGAAACGTTCTCCTGGGACGGAATCACTGGGAAATTGGGAAAAGGAGGAGAGGCTTTCCGCAGTTGATTTGATCCGCCCATAGATTTACTCTTCGTGTCTCTAATTTCCAAACAAATATTATGCCACTGCACTGTCAATTTTACCAAATATAATAATTCAAGGTAATTTTTTTTAAAGAAAAAAGAAATACATTTTGCACTATGCTTTCGCGTTTGGCAACGTTATAATTGGCTAATTAATTAATTAATTTTTTATTCTTATCCGTATAAAGGAGAAATGCTTTCACGCATCTTCATTATTTCCCTTGCCAATCAATCCGCCAGCTCTAGCAGGGTCCACCACGCCCATATCGCTCATAACCAAACCTCAATTTTCCGCCGTTTTTTGTTTCCAATGGAACCCTAAGGCTGACTTGTCTTTAAAAAAAGAAAAAGAAAAACCCAAAAACCTCTCGAAAATCCTCCAATGGAAAACTACTCCTACTCTTCTTATCCTGATTCCGGCGACTCTTCGCCTCGTTCGCGAGAAATGGACTGCGAAAACCAGTCATGGGACGAGCCGCCATCGACTAATAGTAATAATAATAGTACTGCTAATTATAAGGTTAAGTTTATGTGCAGTTATGGGGGCAAAATCCAGCCGCGTTCTCACGATAACCAGCTGGCTTATGTCGGAGGAGATACGAAGATCCTGGCCGTTGATCGCAATATCAAGTTCTCTGCTATCATGGCTAAGTTATCTTCGCAGTACGGCGGAGACTCTGAGGTTTGTTTCAAGTACCAACTTCCTGGTGAAGATCTCGATGCTTTGATTTCCGTTACCAATGATGAGGATCTCGAGCACATGATGTTGGAATACGATCGGTTGCATCGTGCCTCCGCGAAACCGGCCAGGTTGAGGCTGTTTTTGTTCCCGTTGAATCCATCGTTGGTGGCGTCGGGATTTGGCGGGAGTGAACCGAAGTCGGAGCGGCAATGGTTCGTTGACGCGTTGAATTCGGTGCAGGTTCAGAATATGGATGGCTCTTCGCCTCCTTCTGCCGCGCTGCCGGCGGCGAATCCCGATTTTCTCTTCGGTTTGGATAAGGTGAAATTGCCTGATTCGGTCCCTCCGCCGGTGGCGGCGGTGGTTCAAGAGGTGGTTACGAAGGATGTGACTGCGGGATCGGACTGCGGATCGGAGGATCGGCACGTGATCGGAGAGCCGGCGGTGTCTCCGGCGGAGATTCAGAGGCAGATCCAGGAATTACAAAGACTGCATATTGCTGCTACTCAAGAACAAGGCGTTTTACAAAGGAAAATCGACGAATCAAATCCCAGAGGTTACAACAATGCTCAAGATTATCATAACGTTCCAGATAAAATCGCTACGTCACCAGCTCCAGTATCAGTTCCGTTACAAATGCCGATTCCGACGGCATATTTCCCGGAACGGCATTTAACTACCGCCGCTTATCCAGTGCCCGCGGCCGCAGCGGCAGCCCCAGGAACTGACCCGCCTGTTTACCTATTTCAAGCTCCCCCTGCTGGAGTTTATCAACCGCCTCCTACATTGCGACAGGTGCCCGGACCAGCTCCTCAAGCTTACTATGGAGTGCAGCGGGTGGTTCAGGATGTTTACCGGGAGCAGCCGGTTTACAATGCGGTGCCAACCACAAAGGTTGGGGCTTACTCTGAGGGAATCTCAGTCATGCAGCCTAAAGGTGGTGTCCCTGAATCAGGGTATGTACAGGTGGCTTATGATGGGGCAGGAAGGCAAGTGTATTACACGGCGGCGCCGTATCAAGTGATGGCACCTGTGGCGATGGCGGGCGGTGTTGCGGCGTTGAATCAGGATGGTAAGGTTGCGGTGAACGCTAAGGCTCCTCCCCAAACTTCTTCCGTGTGATTTCAATGTTTTGTTTATTAAGTTATAATTATAATATAGTGAATAAGGACGAATATTTTTATAGGTTTTGGTGCATTTGTTGATGTCTTGTGGATCTTTTTAAAATTTATTTTACTATGACTTTCGACATTGTTTGATGTGTATATGATGAGGGATTTTGGCAAATGACTGTAAATTAGTTGATTTCCTGATTAGTTTATTGCAACTGGGCAAGCTTTTTGGAGGTATAGAATCCTTAAACCCTGCTGAAAGTAGCATAAGGAAAATATTTTACTACCTCTCGCAAGTTCATTACTCCAATGTTGTCTGGTTTTTTTGGCGAGAGTTGCTGCTGCTGCTGCTGGATATTGTCTGATCTTGGGTTTGCGGTTGTGTGTTGATTGTTGGCCCATCTTACTTTGGGATCTTCAGAAGTTTCAGACATTGCCTATTTTTTGTTTTGAAATTCATTAGCCTGCTGTCATTGAATCATAGGGAATGAAACAGACATTGCATATTTTGGGCTTGACTTCCATCTCTCTGCATTTGGTGTATTTGGGTGCCGTATATTTGTTACTTTGCTTTAAACAGCCTAGTCAAGTTACCATGAGTATCTATCTAAACTGATGTTGCTTTTTTCTTCAACATACATCTTACAGCCATTCTTGCAATTGCCCCACCCTTTTTCCCCTTCTGGATTGTAGACTGAAAACTTACTCTCTGCCTGTTCTTTTACCTTCATGCTGCAACTTGGCCCACCTAAGGGGGTCCATATGCACATTTAAAATGTTGGTTGGGTAGTTGCTATAACTCAGCAAACGTGACTCAGTTGCATCTGATTTAAAAGGAAATGAGCTGAAAATCGGTGCAGTAGGAATTTGAATCCAAATGCACAATGAAAGATGAAGAATAAAAGGGAGAAGTTCCATCTGGACTTTTTAGCTTGTGTCTCTTGCATAACAACTGTTTTTTTTCTTTGTTTGAACTATTTCTACTTTGGCACGGTAGTATGTGGCAACCAAAGCATAGAAGTAAAGTTGTTATGTCTTCCAGGTTGGGATTCTGTTTTAGTTGGTAACTTGAGGAACGATGGGTTCTTCACGAGATAGGAGAACATTAAAAGAGTTAGTATTAGTTGTAGACATTCAAAGTAAAGGACCTAGTAGTACGTGATTTATACGGGTAGCAACTTCATTTACTAGAGTATTTAATCCAAATTTAGCAGGGACAGCAAATGTCTCAATTCGAGTCACATTACGTGTTCTTTATGACGTGATCAGAACCTCTACACCCACAAGCACCACCACCCGAGCAGCCCCCTCCGCTGCTACCACATTCCCTGCAAAGGCTACTCAACCAGATCTTCGTGGACACAGTTGCTATCGCACCTTTCTCGACAAGGAGTGTCTTTACTTCCAACGCTAGTGGCTTCAGCTTCACTGTCATACACTCTTAACTCTACTGTAGGTGCTGTACGACCTACCCCCTCCACTGTAGCGCCAGCACCCCAACCCTTCCCACCTAGCACTCCTCGCATTAAGTATTACGCCCCGTTTCTCCGCCAATCTCAAACTCTCTTCTACGTTCATGGTTCATGTTGTGAAGTACTTGAGAACCTTTTGACGCATTTAATCTCATTAATATGCCTAACCTTTTCCATCGTACTAAGCTGGTCGGAACTTTTTTCTTCAGTCTTGCAGCTTTTCCCATAGATTTCAGAAAGTAGAACAGCCAATACAACCATGGCCGGTACCAAGGATTCTTCATTGATCTGTTTTTGAAAATTAAAATTAAGTGATATAAGGCCAATTAATTGAGAAGCTTACCTCTTTAATGCCAGACTTAAAAAGTTAGCAAAGCTACAGCTTTTCCACAAGGATCTTCCACGGAAAATTCTACAGCTGTCATAAAATGCTGTTCCTTTTTCTGCTTCTTGCCGCTGTTAACTTCATACCCTAGTTTTCTTCCACGAAAAACAATTACCTGAAGCCAGAATATATACAATTAAGGGTTTTGACAGATGAAGAAACTAATCCATGCTTACAAGAGATGTAATTATTCTTGCATAATGCCTTGGGCATTGACAAATATATTGCTTGCCTGGAGAACGTACTTACCAGAGCTAGGTTCTTTGAAGCCAAGGGTTGTTTAGATACTCACCTTCCGATTTCCTTTAAACCCAAATGCATGGCCATCTTCATTAAATTTCTTTTGAACCCGAAACCGCCAATTGGAGTTCATCAAAGACCATCCTGTTCCAGAAGACTCTGCAAGCACATGCCGTTCACCAGATGTGGTCATACCAATCACTTCCTTCTTGGATTTGCAATTGTTTCTTGCCCCTTCTTTCACAGAATCCCTGAGACGGGTTAGAGAACAGGCAGATTATTCAATACAGGAATTCGACTTAACTCATGATAATTACTACTGTGTCATAAGTTATAGTACTACAAATGACTGAATTCTCTGTCGTTCAGGAGAAACTTGAAGCGGTAAAAAATTGTGCTATCAAAGGTACCTGATGTGGATACTGATAACATCATTACCACCCTCATTCCTAATGTATGATTTTTTGAAATGCTGAAACATTCCAGGGATAAGAGGAAAGCAAAAATTGGAGAGTGAACGTGTTTGAGTTTGAACAGAATGCAGCACGTATGTTGCTGGAATTGGAGGAGTGAAAGACAAAGCCATTCGTAGACTTCTAGGTTTGGAATCAGCAAGTACAGAATTGGACACCAGATCAAACCATTTTTCCATGCAAAGCTGAGAAACTGGGTTTACTAGGTCCTTCAGAGAGATAAGGGGTAGTTCCCAGCTTTTTGGCAGCTCTAGTTATGGCTAGGGCAGAAGGTGTGTATGACATTAGTTCAAAGACGAGATCCCCCCTGGGTTCACATTGGAAAACAGTTACTTGTTTCTCCCTTGTCTCAGACAAAATGCTTAAGCTTCTTTTCTAGTTAAAAAATATATCGGGTTGTTTCTTGCTAATTGTGACGAAGACGCTTCCTCTATGCCAGTGAGGTAGATCTCTGACCCCCACAATCTCTAGCATAATCTGAAAAACAGAAAAAGGCCAAAAGTCAGAACAATGAAATCCAACTGCATTTAGTGGCGAGGAGACACTTGGCTTCTAGGATAAATGAGGCTACCTCCACAACCATTTTCTTGCTAAGTTGAATAATATCTTGATATTCATTGGATGGAACTGCCTTTTCCCTCAGATTATCCAATTGAGACAAATTGATTGCAAGTGGAGATGGAGCATTGCCTCTATACATTGCTCCTGCCCGCGAATACCTTGATCCAAATGTGTCCTCCCACTGTTTGGTACTTTCGGAAAACCCATTGTCCAGCTTCTTGCCTATGGTTCTATCAGATCCGTGTCATCATGCTCTAATATCTTGCCCATAGCTGCCACCAGATCTTTGCAGTAAGAAAAAGGATGCGATTGGTGAGAGTGCCAGATGAGGTCTACGTCATATGTTGGAACACAGAAACATCTCACAGATTTTTCCCAATTCCTATTAATCAAATGCAGAAAACCTTTATACCTGGCTACAGCTTCTTTAAGAAAGAGATCATCATTCATGTAGGATCTGGATACCTGTTGCGTGCATTGTTGCCCACTTTACTGGTCAAGCGAGAGACTAAAAACTTAAAAGAATGCTATCTATGGATAAGTTCTTTGAATTTCCTCCATTATCATTTATATGGATTAAGCATTTGTCTTTTCAAAATCTAAGCCAAATGCAGCAGTTAGTTTTATTATTGTTCAAGTTGGTTGGCTGCATAACATTTTAACAATCATGATGCTAATAATAATCAATTTATGCCGATCTTAAAAAACTGCAAGAGCCTCCAACTTGGACAAATTTCCTGGTTACCTGATAAAAGAAAAGATTTTGCCTCTTGACAAGATGAAATCAGATCATACTCAGTGCTCTTCGGAACTCTTAGAAAATCTTCAACATTCTCCAGGAAGTGGGTGCGCATATTGCGTTCATATGGTTCATCAGGATACATCCTCTTCCAAATTTCTTCAGTTTGCTTTCTGCAAACCGGTTGTCAAGAATTCGCCCATAGAGCTCCTCACAGTCAGCTTTGTAGCGCACCTGACAAGCCAACAGATTGGTAAAATCCACCGTGACAAATCCTGAAGCAGAAATATAGGCAATGCTGCATTTGCATTCATGGTTGCAAAGTTTTAGAAAGTCTACCGGATTGAGCCTATGGCAATGCCAAATCCATTCACAGTCAAGTGGCACAACTAAAGGGCCTTCTGAAACCAAAGACTCCGCATGTATGGCAAGCAGAGGAAGCCAACAGTATTTATACATATAATTGGCATGGTAAGATAATCAAAAGTTGGAAATCATAGTCATCATCCAAGAAAAAATTTCTAGCTAAAATTTCATAGTTGTAGCAAACATTAAATGAATTAAGTCATGAACTTAATTGGAGTACTTACCTATAAATGGTCCGGTTTAAAGCAGGGCCATCATAGAGGCTACGATTCCTATCAATCTCTGCAAGAAATCGTAGCCGTTGCTTGGCTGCAGCCACAAGATCCACACTTGTGGCAATCTTTTGTGCCTTTGTCCGTTCTAATTCTTGATCCTTTTCCATTCTAACAAGCACAGGAAAAATTTTAGCTTCAGAATCAAACGTCGATGTCGCTTAAAACTCTAATAATCTACCTTTAGCAATTCAGAGAAGGTACATCAGAATTTATACTCTGTCCGATCGCTTACTTCGCTAGATGTAGAAGAAACTCAAAAAGCTCAAACAAAGAGAGATATTCATAAGTTTTGCCAGAGAAATGATTTGTCAAATTTGGAAATTTCTCCTGAGAATTCGTGTGTGGTGAGGAAAACCCTATTTGAAATATCAAATGCTAGCTTTCATGAAATTTCCTTTGCTTTTTCTCTACAAGGTTTGATGATATATTTACTGTCCTAATTGAATTTCAAAATTGGAGCTTAAATCGCTAATTTGCCGACTTGAATGTGAATGAAACCACAGAAAATCATAACAAACATAACCCTTCGTTAGTTTGTCCATGCCATTCCTCAGCATTAAGACAGTTTTGGAGGGCATTCAGGGCGCCTTAAAAGCAGGTTCCCTTAGCGGTTTGGCTGCAACAATTTCTTTGATTTAGTCTTCATTTATTTGTTGCGAAACATGAGAGAAGCTCCCTGGAAAGATCATTGAATGCTACAGGCGCCGAAGGAAAACATAATGAAACAATAATCATACAAAATTGAAGTTTCAAAATCTATCTTGGAGCTAGAAACTATGAAGCCTAAGCTGAACATTGGTGTGAGTAGTGTCCAAGGAAGAATGAGCTACCCTTCAATCATTATTGTCTAAACCAGTTTCTAATTGTGCTATCCATGCTTTCACTCCATGCCTATATTATGCTACGCATGATTAGGAAAGCCTCAACCAGTTGCTTCTTCCAGCATCTCTATTCTCATAAGTTGCCACAGTGTTTAAATCAAATTCCTTGAAATGGTTCCCCTCTTATTTTTTACTATACGGTATTTCAAATCTCACCATCTAAGAAACAATTGATGTCAAGTCGAGGTAGGTAACTTAAGCTAGGCATTATTATTGTTTTGAAGATCATGAGATCTAATCATAGTAGGCAACAGCCATGAGACCCAAGAGTTCACTCAATAATTTTATAACGGAAGTAATGAAGTGGCATCTGGGCATCTTCCACTTTTTCCCATGACAGCGTCATCATGGAGACTTGCAATTGGGAGACATTCCATTCCACATCTTATCAGCCAATGTCTCTTTCCAAAGTCCATGATGCATTGACGCTGTTCTCCATTATCTAGGCCCTACCTTTCTTCTCCTAAAGCTTTCTATCTACCTAAACTTTTGTAGAATTCTTAAGGACCTAACTCCTCCCACTAATTACTAGGATCATAACTGAAGAAGAAATAGCGTTGGTCAGAAATTCCTGGCTAGTATTTTATGCACGAAACTTTATAGTAATCAAGAAGGCAATGTCTAATCACATTTTAAATAGTGTGAAATTCTAAATAAAAAATCTCCTTGATAATACATTGAAAATTCACCAAACCACCCCCCCTCTCTAATTTCAAAATGACACCGTTTCTCCCTTGATTTTTTACTCTGTTAATCATTTCAAAAATTTCAGGTGGACAATTTGCAGACAAGAAGTCCCAAATTTCTTCTTTGATTTTTCTTCTGTTTTCTTATTTCCAGAGTAGTTTCTCCATAGAATTATGTATTCATGGAATCATCAAGAGTATGAAAAGGAGAACAAGATTTAACCAAACAACAAATAAAGCAAAAACAACCTCCGATTCCAAGTCATATTTTGATTTTTTGAATTTAAAAACCTTCATCTCTAACATCCAAAGCCACAAGAATCAAATGCCAAGCAAATCAAAATTTAAGTTACTGAAATGAAGACCATGTCAAGCAGCAATCATGATCCCTTTGACATACCGTAAAAGTCAACTCCTTTGACTGAAATCTACACATTTAGGAGTTGAGAGAGAAGAGAAAACATTTTTCCTTTTGATCTTTTTATCCATGTCTACAAAGAAGAAGACGAATAATCAGTACTAGTCAAAATGAGAAAAGAGCCAGCGAATTGCCACCGATCTCTAGTGATACAAACGTACGGGGTCAAAAGAAGAATAGAGGTAGAACTCAATACTGGGAAAAAATAGAAAGAAAAAGAAAGGAGCCTGGTCGAGGTAAGAGAGGAAAACGAGGGTGATGCAAGATTCGAATCGGGGCTAAGAAAGGAGTAAAACCATTCAGGAAAAAGAAAATTGAAGAACAGAAAGAAAATAAAGAAGGAAAAAAAAAAAAGAGAAATGTCTGCAAATTTTCTAATTTTATACTAACGGTTTGACTAACAGAACAAGATACCAAGGGGGAGGGAAAGATGTCATATTTAAAATTAGAGGGGGGATATTTGGAATTTCAATATATTGTAAGGGGGTTTTTGGAATTCACCCATTTTATAATTTGTGTTTATTTAAGCACAACAAAAGACTCTATAATATTTTATATAATGGTTATTGTTATAATATAATAATCGTAACAGATATGTTTATTTTCCTTTTGATATTTAATAGTTCCTATCTGTTATCAAACATTTGAAATTTTGGTTTTATGCTTTTCAATTCATCAACATATAAATGAAAAACATTTTTTTTAGTGCTCAATTTTATTGTTAGAATGTTAAACCCAAAAAAATTTAAAAAAAAATTGGTTAGTTAAAAATCAAACTAGTTATTCAATCCTTTTAAAATTTATACTTACTTTTAAATAATAAAACACGAGTAAATTTAAAATTGATGAATTATTAATTTATAAATAAATAAAGTTTTAAATTAAATTAGACAAGATAAATTGGAAACATGGACGTGATAATTAGTAAGAACAGATCGTATAAGTATGTGCATGTATAACGTATTCATATTTTGGTAAGATTTTACCAAAATTAATGCATTAAAAAATAGAATTTTGAATGGAAAATTCCCTGATTTATCAACCAGGAAATGGAGTTTCTATTTATGGTAGAAAATATTTTCAGGACAAAAAAAAAATGAAAACGGAAAGTCAAAAAATTGAGGCTAATTCGTGAACTGTCACCAACCATGAAAGAAAGCTGTGGTCTGCACTATATCATCCCCACAAAACCTAAATCCTTTCCCTCTTATTACAAGCCTTAATTTTCTTTTCTTTTTTCCTGGAGATTTCTCTTCTTCAGAATCTACTTTTCGTGTCTAATACTGTAACTATTTCTAAGCTTAAAGCTTCCTACTAGCGCTTTGCTTAAGCTTTGGTTGCTGGCTGCTGCACCTTAAAACTCCTTCCTTTATCTTTTCTGTTACCTCTCTGATTGGTGAGAGAGAAAGTGGAATGCTAAGGGGGAAAGAATTGGGAGAAAATTAGCGATGGTGGTGAGGAAAGTAGGGAAGTATGAGATTGGAAGGACAATCGGAGAAGGAACCTTCGCGAAGGTTAAGTTCGCTCAAAACACGGAGACTGGCGAAAGTGTTGCCATGAAAGTCCTCGATCGCGGCACCATTATCAAACACAAGATGGTCGATCAGGTCAAATTTCCACCTTTTTTTTTTTTGTTATTGACATGAAATTTCGGTAATTTTATGAGAAAGTTCTTCAATTTATTAGAAAGACTAGTTTTTTAATTTTCTTTTTTATGTATTTTTACTGAACTGAGGTGAAGTTGATAAATTTTCATTGCTTAGATTGTAGTCTTAGTTATCCGTTCTAATAATTAAGCATTAGTACGATTTAAAATTATGAATTCGTTTTCAAGTTAATCATGAGTTTTGTCTTTCTTATGTTTATTAATGCAGATCAAAAGGGAGATATCTATAATGAAGCTTGTTAGACATCCTTACGTTGTTCGTTTGCACGAGGCAAGTAATTTAGTATTTAGAGTATTAAATTTCAGATTTTGTGGTTTGGCTTGTTTTTAACAGTGTAATGTTTGATTTCTCAGGTCATAGCAAGTCGAACTAAGATTTATATTATCTTGGAGTTCATTACGGGTGGTGAATTGTTTGATAAAATAGTAAGTATGATTTAAAAAGATCCAATTTTGGTTGTATTATTGGATTTTTGTTTTTCGTGATTATCAAAGGTGGGTGGTAATCATGTAGGTTCATAATGGTCGTCTTAGTGAAGCAGAAGCTAGAAGATACTTCCAACAGCTCATTGATGGTGTGGAATATTGCCACAGCAAGGGAGTCTACCACAGAGATTTGAAGGTGTTCTTTTTGTTACTATCTGGAATGTAATTTTACTTTCCTCGGTTTCATCAAATTCTGATCGATTGTTTGCTTCTATTGTACAGCCTGAAAATCTTTTACTTGATTCCCAAGGAAATTTGAAGATTTCAGATTTTGGCCTTAGTGCGTTGCTTGAACAAGTAAGAAATTAAGTGAAGAGTGAACTTCTCTTTTTTGCCTTCCTCCCTTGACATTAATGTAGATTGACAGAAGTATAATCACACGGGTTGTTTTTTTATGACGTATGTTTAGGGAGTTAGCCTCCTGCGGACAACATGTGGGACTCCTAACTATGTGGCACCAGAGGTAATCATAGTTTTTGAGTTGAATATACCATACTTTGATGGTTTGTTTTGTGCTGTTGCAATGTTTCTTAAATTAATAATTTCATTTTTGTTATAGGTTCTCAGTCACAAGGGATATGATGGTGCTGTGGCAGATGTTTGGTCTTGTGGGGTCATCCTTTATGTTTTGATGGCAGGTTATCTTCCATTTGATGAGCTTGATCTCACCACGCTATACAGTAAGGTATGAACTTTTGTCATAGTCTACTAGTTTATGGTTATTGTGTTTATCCTTCTGAATTCATGACTTATTTGCCAAAAAACTTGAAAATGGACCGAAAAAAAAAGCTTGCATTTTGAAATTATCAGTATTGCGTAACTGGTGTTTTTGTTTTTAACCTGCAGATTGAGAGAGCAGAATTTTCTTGCCCTTCTTGGTTTCCTGTGGGAGCAAAATCCTTGATTCATAGAATTCTAGACCCAAATCCTCAAACTGTAAGTACTTGTTGGCCAACAAGCTGAAGTCTTTGAGCTGCATTAGTAATGAGTCCATAGAAACTGATGGAGTGGATTCAAGGTATATGATGAAATGATTCTAAGTATCCTGGAATGCACACTAAAACAGAAATGTTCAACCTAATATACTAGAAGTTAAATTAAAAGTATGCAACCTAATGAACCCCAAGAATATCATCACCTTTTGATGGCTTAAAAGGAGCCATTATATATTTGGCACTTGTTGTTCTGATAACCCTTATGCAGACCATCATAAAGACATGTTTTCTATATGCATTGCGTTGACTCTTTACTTTGCATAACTTATACTCAGTGCAACCATGAAGGATTCTGGTCTCATATTTGAAACTAGTGCACCGGTTCCTACCTCTATATGGTATTCCTTTTATTTGATAGAGGTGTTTCTATAAAATTAAATAATGGTTTCAATATGGTTTCTGTTTCTGCTTGATTGTAAGGAATCTCTCTCCTTTCTGTACAGCGTATTACAATTAAGCAAATCAGGAGTGATGAGTGGTTTAAGAAGGGCTATGTTCCTGTCAGACTTCTTGAGTATGAAGATATTAACTTGGATGATGTAAACGCTGTTTTTGATGATCCAGAGGTCAATAAGGTATTTAAAAGCTTGAATTTGTTAAATATGCTGTAAAAGTATAATTTTGATTTTCCAATAAATAACATAAAGTCGTCTTAGGTGTGTCTAAATTGGGTTTGTTTGTATGAAAGCATCATTGTGATTAATATCTAACTCTCTATTCTTGATAATGTACTGTAGGAAGAAAGGGGTAATGAGCAATCCGGAAATGAGGATATGGGTCCATTGATTCTTAATGCATTTGACTTGATCATTCTTTCTCAAGGCTTGAACCTTGCAACGCTTTTTGACCGTGGACAGGTAGAATTCTTTAATAAATTGTTTATATGCAGTCCTACCTCTGTCGACCAGTTTTTGAAAGAATATGTGCTTTAATGTTTTTTAACCAAACAGCATGCTCTAAAAATTGCTGGGGTTTTCTATGCTTTTTGATGCCTAAAGCTATCTATTTATGAGCTTTAGTTTCACCTGGCAGTCATATAAGGAAATCTTGTATCGCAATTTCTCTATATCTTGCCTTCAGGATATGTTTCTATGAGGCAGTCCAATGTATGTTTTTTTCCTTCTAATATTAAGCTATTTGAATGTGTTATCCTCCCTGACAGGACTCCATGAAGTATCAGACACGCTTTGTTTCACAGAAGCCAGCAAGGGTTGTTCTGTCTAGCATGGAAGTTGTTGCACAATCAATGGGCTATAAGACACACATTCGCAATTATAAGGTAGACCACTCAGGCCATTTAGCCATTGCTTTTAACAGATTCCGTGCTTTGTTTCAATTTAATAGCTATTTTGCTGCAGTTTTAGTGCTAAATGAGTTTCTCTTCTTTTACAAGTTATTTCGTCAACTTGACTGGAGAATAATCTTGCCCATAGTATTTCCATTGTCATCTAAACTGTTGATTATATGTTCATTTTTCAGATGAGAGTTGAAGGTCTTTCAGCTAACAAGACTTCTCATTTTTCAGTTATCCTCGAAGTAGGTTTTCATCCTCAACTCTGTTGAATTCCAGATCAGCGTTTAAATTTAATCTTATTTTCTTCCTTTCTCCGTCTGATTATTCTTCGGCTTGAAGGTTTTTGAGGTTGCTCCCACATTTTTGATGGTTGATATTCAAAAAGCGGCTGGTGATGCTGGAGAATACCTAAAGGTTAGTTACCTTGTGAGTCACATATCAAGTTTGTATGTTCCATGTAATCTGCTTCTTGGATTCTTTGGTTGACATGGTTTCTTGGGATAGCCTTCCAGCCTTCCCTCCAGACTTTGCCCTCTTGAACATAGTATCTCTCTTCCCTGCACCCCTTCTCTCTCTCTCTCTTCAGGCTCCTGTTTTCTTTCATTTTTGGATTCTGACATAAACAATGCATTTTTGTCTCACAGTTTTACAAGACATTTTGTAGCAACCTTGAGGATATCATATGGAAACCACCTAACGAATCAAGCAAATCAAGGATCACCAAATCTAAGAGTAAAAGGCGTTGATTTTTTATCCTGTAAAATTGCCTGTATTTTGATACTTTTTACATATGCTTAGGCGATACAACCTTGAGGTCAACATTACGGCTTACCTAACCCCACATTATATTCTTCCCGCAACTCCTCTCCTTCCCTGAAGAGAAATAGGAAAATGTAGTATTTATTTCTACGTTTTTCTATGGTTAGCGTTTGTAAAGCTCTCTTTATCTTAATCCATAATTTGTCTCCTTAGGTAATGTGCTATATATTGTAATCATGTGAGTGCAAGTACTTGACTTTCAATGAGATCATATGAAGAATAGATAGTTGTTGATGACTTGTCGTTGGCTTTATTTATTTTTTAAGCAGAATCATCCAATTTCACAGCTCTAGTACTCCACCAAGCATTTCCATTCAGTCAAGGATTTTCTTTTGAACTTCGATGCATGATGATCCCTTGTCTGTTTATGTTGAAGTGCTCCACTCTTTCTAATGCCCTTGCTTTTTTGCCGCTTAAGGACCTTATTTAACATTGTCGGTGTCATTTCAGCCACAGGATGGCAAAATCTGAGGATTATAATTCCAGAATTTGTCAAGGAATTGAGCAATCTCTCAACTAGAAAACTTTCCGCCATGGTTTTATCTGAGGCATGAACTTCATCTTTTAAGCCAATGCTCTGGGAGGCCTAATTAGAGCATTGACATAGAGTTGCTGCTAAAGCATAGCTTGGCTAAAAGAAATCAAGCACAGTTCGTTTCATGCAGTTTCGATAACCTAATCGAATGAACTATCAATGTCAATATTTATAGAGCCTTTCAATTATTCATGAATATCACGGAGAAAATAATTTGTATGAAATGTTTCAACTTTAGAAAATTGGGAAAAAGGAATTGTTGGGAACCTGCCTTTAGTCATCAAAGTAAACCACCATAATCCCCACATGAACACTGCCCGTTAACAAATTTATGGAGCTGCTTGCGATCCCGAATGATGATTTCCCTAGCATTCAGTGAAGAGATGGCCTTCATAAAATTATGGCAACCCCCGCACATGCTAATGTTCTTGATAATTCGTATAGGCGCAGCACCTGGTATATTCAACAGGCCAAATGCAGCAGCCAGCTTTTCACTATGTTGAACAGTGGAAGAGAATGCTCGTTCCTCATCCTCTTCATCAACGAAGTCAAAACTTTCAAGTGATTCATATCCAAGAAGACCATTTGCTTTGTCAAGCAATTCATCCAACAATTCATGCATCTCAGTCCCATAAGTTTGCCTCTCATCGGATTTGAATGCATAAACCTTGTCCTTAGTGCTGATCCAGCTCCAATCCATTAACTTTTCAAGTCTCTTCTCCTCCATCAATGCTCTCACTTTGGAAACATCGTCCCATCTCTCTGCAGACTGGTACATATTCAACAGCAAGAGGTAAGTCTCAGAATCTTTTGGCTTGAGCTCAAGTAACTTTTCAGCAGCAAAGAATCCCAATTCAGTTTTGCCATGTCTTTTGCATCCTGCAAGCAAGAGTGACCATATAAACTCATTTGGCTGAAAATCCATCTTCCTGATTAAATCAAAAGCTTCATCTAACCTCCTCAACCTCACAAACATGTCAATTAGGCATGTGTAATGGTCCATAACAGGTCTGATTTTATAGTCTTTCTGCATCATCTCAAGATATCCGAGCGCTTCATCTACCCTTCCGGCATGGCCACAAGCCGATAAAACACCTACAAAAGTTACCTGATTTGGTCTGACTCCTGCCAGTCTCATATCCTCAAAAAGCTGCAGTGCTTGCTGAGTCTGTCCATTCTGTGTAAAAGCATTAATCATAGAAGTCCATGATATCAATGTTCTAGCAGACATCTCCAGAAAAGCTCTGCTTGCTCTTTCAATGCTTCCACATTTATTGTACATATTAACTAGTGCCGTTCCCACAATCACATCTGACAAATACCCAGTTTTAAGGGTCTGAGCATGGATTTGTTCCCCTTGTTCTAAGGCCACCATCTTGCTACATATAGTTAAAACACTAGAGAAGGTAAATAGATCAGGTTTGAAACTGGAGTTATTCAATTTGGAGAAAATGTTGAGAGCCTCGTTTCCATTATGGTAGGCTGATAGATCATCCTTTGCAAGATCCATCATTTCACCATAGCCTGCAATCATTGAATTCATTGTAACCAAGCTCATGTCTTCCATGCCATTGAACAATTGCTGTGCTTCTCTAAACCAGCCACGTTTGAGATACAAATACATTATAGAATTCTTTATGCGGAGGTTTGATCCATAGCCAAGCTTAATGCTTAAACAATGAACTTGTGCCCCTACTCTCAAAGATTGCATTGTACAGCACATGCTCAAGGCACTGGTCAAAGTGAACTCATTAGGTTCAACATTTTCAGCAAGCATCTCAGTGAAGAATCTCAGTCCCTTTGCAGCTCTAGCATTATCTCCACAAGCAGAAACCATAATAGTCCATGAAATTACATTCCTTCTCCCAATCTTTTGAAAGGCTTTAATAGCAGAATTCAAGCTGGCACATTTCGAGTATAAGCTACAAAGGGAGTTCCCAACACTTGTATCATGGTCAATCTGGTATTTAATACTGTAGGCATGGATTTGCTTCGCCAATTCAAGAAAATTCAGTGCAGAACATGCAGTCAAAGCACTTCCTAAAGTATAATTTGTCGGATAAGACCCAAATTCCAGCATCTGTTGGAAAACATAGATGGCAGCATCTGGTTGATCATTATGAACATAGCCCGTCATCAAGGTCGTCCATGCAACAACATTTTTTCTAGGTAAACTGGTAAAGACTTTTCGAGCATTTTCCATGGCTCCACATTTGGCATAAACATTGACAAGGAATGTCAGGACAAACAAATCTTCATGAGTTCCGGTCTTTATGATATGAGAATGTAAATTTTGTGCTCCCGAAAGTGAATTCCTGTCAATGCATTCTTGCAAGAGGGGGACATAGTAAGATGTTTCAATCCTTGAACCATCTTTTATCCTGGAGAGTGCTTCTTGGAAGTCCATAGACCCAACTGATTCTGACTTGCCATCTAAGTGGGTGAACTTGTGAGTTCTTGGATAAGAAATGCTCGGACTCTGAGAATCAATATGCAGCTTAGAATCAACAAATATAATAGAACACAGCACAATTCTTGCTAAATTACGCTGAACATGGAAAAATCAATTAACAAGCCAAATTTTGGCATGATGAAGAGTGATAAGTAGTCAAGGTATCAGATATTCTGCATGGACAAACCCTCTTGCCGCAGTTGTAAGTAAAAGGAAATCCCATATCTTACAAAATTAGGAAGAACCCATTATCAGTGGCTAAGAAAGACATGGAATTCGTTAATTCAGTTACATGGAACTGCATAGAGCAAAAAGAATAGTTGAGGAAAGACATTGAAGAATACCTTATCCGTGGAAAGAGAAGCCGGGGAGTGCTTTCTGGAGTCTGGTTCGAGCTTGAGACTGCCACTGCCGGCAAAAGAAGGCAAAGAAGCCATTCAAGAAAGGTGGAAGGATAATAAAAGTGCTTTGAATGCAGCATTCTAATGTTATAAGAGTTGTAGTACATCAACTGTTACGTTATCCTTATTCCTATTTGTCTGAGAAAAGAAGAGCGATAGGCAAATAGTGGACGTGAACTCTGAACTCATAATAGTCCATCTTTTCTGGTCAATCATGGTCAACCCCAATGAATCTTAACGATAATCTTTAAAAAAAAAAAATCTTCCTGCTCTTTTTCTTTTTTGGGATTTTTTACCTTTGTTTTAAACACTCTTTCTAAAAAATAAATTTAATAGGATATATAATATTCAAATTTATAAATTTTTCAAAATCCTCTTGTCATGAGAATAAATTATTTTATTTATTTTTCTGAAATATTTAATGGACTATATCACTTTAAAATTCGAATTTATAAATTCTTGAAAAGTGTCTTATCTATTTTATTTAAAATTGAAATATTTTATTGAAATGCTTTTTCTGGGTTCAATTTAGAACATGTAAATGGAATCCTCTGCATGGTTAGACAATTAGGATATTTTTTTTCTTTGAAAAGGTTAGACAATTGAATGGTTGTGCACAAATAAATTGAACAGAGGACTCAAATATCCATTAAATATTTTATTCGTTATAAAGTAAACCTTAATAGCTTTTAATTTGGAACGGAGGAATCACGATTTACAAAATTGTCTTTGTGGTTTCACAGCCTAAGCTCCTCTTTATAATATGAAAATGTAACTCAATTTACTTGACACTTCGCTCTTGTTAAATTTCGCAGATCATTTAAATTTTATTGGATATTACCAAAGGGAAAACAAGTTCAAGCAATTTTGCTAATATGAGAAAGAAGCACTTAAAACCGAGTATAGATTTACGCTTCAAAACGAAAAACTTCAAAGAATTTCATCTTGATCTCATGGATGAAACAACAATATGCTCCTTGTATTGTTGATGCTAAGCCTTTTATCCCTAATTTATGCCCTTCAGTTGACAGCAAGAACTTGAGGCAGGCTTCATGGTTTTGGAACAAATGCATCTGCAATAGAGGTAAAGGTAATTAAAACTGTATAACATAAAGCACAGTAGCAAACAAGAATAAATATTTTTTCTATGAACTTTTTAGATTTGATAGTGGAGATCTGTATCCTATGCATCAGCAGATCACAAAGCCATACACGGCCATGAGTATCGAACAAAACCGGATAAAAGCTTCACCTTTCATAAACAAGTCACAACGAAAGCAGCATGCTCAATCGGGTGTTGAAAAGAACAAATCTGATTAATGGCATAAACATATTTCAAATCTAAACACAGAAGTAGACATCAGATGTCTCTGTATTACAACACCATATCAATAGGTTTATCCACATGTTCAGAATCTTTGACACTCGAGATACTAGATACAGTCTGCATATTTTGGCATTGTAAGAGGTTCTCAGAGACAGTGTTCCTCCAAAAATCATTTTGTGCAACTAATATGAAAAATTATCTAAATTACACAGTTCTATAGAGCTGACAAACCTTGCATATAAAAGAGTCCCCTTTAGTCCTTGTATTTCATTGTTTCTTTCTCAAAACCGATAGTTGGAAATTGTTTGGCATACTCCTCAACTTCTTGTCTGAGCTTTGCGATCTCAGATTGAATGTTCACATCTGACTGCAAGGTCTCTACAAAGTCCTTCAACTTTGTTCCTGAATTAATCATAATTGAAACGAAATGCTGTCAGCACACGTTCTAGGTGGCTAAATGCACTCACGTCATATTACAATATATAGAGGTATTGATGCATAGCTAAATGATGAAGCAGAGGAAAATACCTTTTGTCTCAGCCTTGATTTTCAGGGCCAACTTGACAGCCGCATCAAAGAAGTCAGCTACCTTCTCAAAGTCTTCCTCAATAAAACCCCTAGATGTGAGAGCTGGGGTTCCTGAATCACAAGAAACCACAGGATTCAAAAAACTGAAGGACCTAACAAATGACCAAATTAACCAGCAGATGGTTGATGATCAAAGGAGAAGGTCCATACCCATACGGATGCCACCAGGAACCATAGCAGACACATCCCCTGGAACAGTGTTTTTATTGGCTGCGATATGAACTGATTCCATTACCTTCTCAACTCTTGAGCCATCAATACCCTGTTGGATAGCATTAAGAAACAAGGAATTTACTCTTTTTATCATGCTATAGACTTTAATTACCAAGTAAATTGTTATAAAACATTGGTGGAGTCCTATCTACAGAGTTCTGGTTAGTAAAAGGGTGAAAAGTTTGTAGACCTATTGCATTAGTTCCTATACAATTATTCCAACAGAATTCTCTTGATCACATAGAAGGTAAAAGAATTTTCCATAAAAACAGTCTGAAAGGAGCAAACCTTGTACCTTGTTTCTCAAATTGACCAAGACTAGATGATTTTCTGTTCCACCAGACACTAGTTCATACCCCTTTTCTAGCAACCTCTGCATAAAAAGGAAACTTGGAATTGTAACTACCATAGTTAAATCACTCAGAGGAGATAAGATAATGTTGTTTATAATGGAAAAGAAATGAATTTACATACGCCAAGTAATGAACTTCCATCAACAGGAGATCATTCAGTATACCTGAGCAAATTTTGAGCAATTACTGAGAACTTTCTCTTGGTAAGCCTTGTATTCGGGTGTTCTGACCTATAATCATATATTTCAAACTTGAGAAATTTACATACTCTTGGCTAACTTGGATCTAAAAATTGTATTGCCTGACCAAGTATTTTGTTCGCATAAACACAACTTTTTATAAAAAAAATACCTGCTTCAACGCAACTGCTAAGCCGGTTATAGTGTGATTGTGTGGACCACCTTGAAGTCCAGGAAAGACAGCTTGATTAATTTTATCTTCAAAATCATATATCACCTGTAGGATAGAACCCAAGACATTGGATAAATTCCTCTTCCTACATTACACTTTAGAGTTTCAAACCAGAAACAATATGAGAATGTTACTACAAAAGTGATACTCAAGGTAAGCCATATCTGCATTCATTTTGGACTCACTCTTTCCTTCTCTTTTTCTTTCATCCAACATTATAGAGAGAGAGAGAGAGAGAGAGAGAAAGGGAAAAAATTACCAATACTAACTTGAACCATATTTTATACTCACCTCTTGCCCTTTTTTGTTGATCTCTTTCACTCCCTTCCTGAAGAAGATCATTGCACCACGTGGACCACGAAGTGACTTGTGTGTTGTGGTTGTCACAACATCTGCATATTCAAAAGGAGATGGAATTACACCTGCAGCAACCAACCCACTAATATGTGCCATGTCAGCCAACAGAATTGCTTTCTGCTTGTCACAAACCTGTAAATATGTCAAAATTTGAGTCTCTTAGTTTCTCAATGTTGAGTCAAAATATTCACTGATATATGACAAGAGTTTTTGATAGTGAGTCAAGCACAAAGGAGCTTACCTTGCGGATACGCGCATAGTCATAAAGGCGAGCATAAGCACTGGCACCAGCAACTATAAGTTTTGGTCTGAAAAGCACAGCACTTTTCTCCAACTGCAAACATATTTATTCTTTAAATCACACCTTTTAAAGAGACAATCAAGTAAAATTTCCAACAACATACTTTGATGAATTTAAAAAGTGTGCAAGGGCCTTTCCACTTAATCCGCACAGAAAAGATCTTTATTGTCCACTCTGCTCTAGAATTTGATTTGTGAGATATATGCAAGTTCCAAACAATTTGAAAGCTTCAAACAAATCAATTGAAAATTTTAAAGTATTAAGATAGTCATGTCCCTTGTTGTCAAAATATGCACAAAAGATACAGCATGTAACGAATATTCACAGAATGTTCCTGACATGAATCTAAAAGGATTGTTAAAGCAAAAGAAACAGTGATCAAAATCACATGCCTGGTTTTGTATTACCATGTAAATTACCTATGAGTAGAATACTCAAAATGCAAATCTTTTGTTTCTTCAAAAAAAAAAAAAAAGAAAGAAAAACTAGCATCTTTGCTAAGATAGAATTGAAGAATTACCTGATCATAATCGATATAACCTGTACTCTCATTCAATCTATATGGCATTGTCTCAAAGAATATGGACACAGCAGATATCTTCTTAGTATCAGTCTGCATGATGCAAAGAGAAAGTGAAAACTTGAGTTTCACAAACTATAAGCTCCAGTTTAATGGCCTTAAGAGTAATGTTACACTTTCCTAAGAATCTTATAGGTAGCTAGCATAACCGGATATTCCTTTTAGGAAAAAAAAAGGAAGATCAAAAATTAAAAACTAGAATTTTAGTTACCGTGAGCGGACAAAATATATCCTAATTCAGCAAAAAAAAATCATGACTGAAAAAATTCTATAAGCACCTGATAACCATGTGAAAGATGCCCACCATGTGGTAGATCAAGTGCCATAATTCTCTCGTGAGGTTTCAATAATGCTGTGTAAACTTGAAAGTTAGCAGGGGATCCAGATAGTGACTGCACATTGACTGCAATAATGAGGCAGATACATGGTAAGTTGTATGCTGATATAAACAAAACAAGTATTCAGTATGCAAAACCCTTAACATGCTCAGAATGGAAATGGAAACAGAACTACAACTAAAGATGAAAGGTAAGTTGACATTTACATAAGCATGCAGTTAGCTCTATATACTTTGAAAACTGAAACAAATAAACAGCCAACAAATATCTAATCCATGACATTGTCATAACATTTCACCATGCAGGTCCCAAAACATAACCTTAGCCCAAATATAAATGGCATGCATAATTCATTCACCTCCCCACTTTGCAGGATCCAACCCAAAAGCCTCAAGCGCACGCTTCTGACACAATGACTCAGCCATGTCGATATACCTGATCAAACAAGTGTCAAAACATTAAACATTCACCCTAGTAACAATTTGTACCAAAAAACCTGATACCAAGTAGGGCGTATTTTATTTCCCAATTCAATTTGCCAACAAAATATCAATCACTTTCACATTGATTGCAAAACCATGTACAATAGGAAATATAGGGCCATTAATATTAGGCAGACAAAAATTGAACATAGTAAAAGAAAAAAAGAGGCAGATTGTCATACTCATTGCCTCCATAGTATCTAGCACCAGGATATCCTTCACTGTATTTATTGGTCATTACAGAGCCAACTGCTTGCATCACTGAGACGGACGTGAAATTCTCTGAAGGAATAAGTTCCAGTCCCTATTACACATTGGAAAAACAAGTTTGATCTTTCAATTAGCCAATAACTATGTTATCTAAAATGAACACATTTCACAGATTACTCCATTCATTTCCAATGGATCAAAGAACCATTGATCACAAAACTAAAATCAGAAATATTTAGCATTCCAACCAAGTACCTTCCATTGCCTAGCTTTCTCGAGTTCGATAATGTCAGCAATTTCAGGATCGATCTCCTCAAGCGGAGCATTCAACTGATGTATCCACTGCAAAAACCAAATACATTTTTTTTCTATAAGCATAAATTAGAATTCAGAATCAAAGATCTAAAGTGTTTCTTTGAAAAGAAGGCTTACGTTAGCACGGGCTTTCTCTTTCTCAGCCGCAGCTGTCGACTGCACAAACAAAACTAAAATGAAAATCTGAAATTTAACAGAAGAAACAACGAAACAAAAAGGTTCAGATTTCGGACCATGAACTTTATGGAGCTGCCATTGAAGAGAGGTCTGATTGGAGATTTGATGGAGGAAGAGAGCCTGCGAAGGCTGATTGCCATTACCATTATTTCTGAAATCCAAGCGAATCCAACAGAGAAACTTTTGCGTTTTGGTTGGAAAATTAAAAAACAAAGAAAAAAACAATCGGAATGTTTGCGAGTGGGTTGGTGGAGACTGAGACTGTTGCTTGGTTATGTTGATATTATAGAAGTGCCGGATGCTGTAGGTCGATGAAATGGGTTGGTTTGGTTTCGCGGTGTAACGTTAACGTCACTTGCTCAACTGCCACGTAATCATTTTAAAACGACAGTGGTTGGTAATTGGATTTTGACGACATCTTTTGAGATCAACCAAGACTAGCCCATTATGGAAATTAGTTTGGGGAAGAAGCCTAAACGACTAACTTTAGCCCAGTATTAGGCCGAACGAGACCAATCATCCCTAGCCCACTAAGATCTGAAATTAGTTCCGGCTGAAGCCTAAACTTACTAGGCCTAGCCCAATAGTAACTGGATTTGTGCTTCTTGTCTTGGGGTAAAGGAAGCATGATTATTTTTAATGTATTTTTTGGATTTTTTATTTTTACTGATTGTTGTCTTTTATTTTTGTTTTCATCACAAGTTGGAGTTATTAAATGTCAATTTATTTATCATAATTTTAAAGAACAAAAAAAATTTCTTTTATCATTATTGGGAAGGTCAACTACATTAAAAAAATGTAAAAAATAAAATCTAATAGGCAGCGATTTTATAGTCTTTTTTTAATGGCATAATATCTAAAAAAATCCTTAAATTGTTCAAAAAATTTAAATAAATCTTTATACTTTTATTGCATTCAATTAAACTCTTATATTTTTGTTTTAAGCTAATAAAATCTTTATATTTTTATTTTAAGTGAAATAAACTCTTATAACTAATGAGTGACTTAATAAAAATATCATTTGTCATTTTATGTCATATAACACTAATATAGCATACTAACATGTCATAATTGATAATGATATAGCATGTTGATATATCATAATTGATGACAATATGGGATACTAATGTGACATGATAACATAATCATATGATTTTTTTTTACCCTTCACATCAATACTATATAAATATAAAATAACAAGTGATATTTTAACTAATAATATTTAATCAATTATTTGTCGTAAGAATTTATTTAATTCAAAATAAAAATATAAAGACTTAATTAAACTTAATGAAAGAATAAGGGTTTATTTGAATTTTCTTAAATAGTTCAAAAGCTCTTTTAAGCAATATACCTAGCTTAATTTCTATGAAAAACCATATTTAATATTTTTATAGCATAAAATAGGTAGCATCTCTTTTCATTCTCAAACAATGACATGCATTTTGTATTATTCCCTTTGAAATTATTCAATTGTATAATTCGAAGTTTCAATCCAAACCGGTGAATTTTAAATTCTGTCTGTAAAATATAATGAGCATACAAACCATGAAAGAGAAATTGAAATTTATAGCGAAATATGCAACAATCTTAACGGTTAGTACAAAGTCCAAAAATGGATTAATGATCAGATGATCTCATATATTCAGAAAAAAACAATGGAAACAAATTGACCATATTTAGACATTCCTTGAGCCGAATAATGCTGGCCGATGATATATATAGGTTTCTATATTAATCTCTAACCTTTTCCTAAGTATTTGTAAACTATGGAATTTTGGAATCTTAGGCCGTTTTGTCAAATGCAGTATCTGTACTGTATGGAATGTGCACACGTAGTCTTACAGCGTAAAGCTACATCCATGAACAGTTATTTGATTAATTATCTCATCTCCCATGATTACATGTATGCTATATAGTAACAAGCAGAGACACTTCATTTGCTGACCTCTCTTTTGGTAATCATCTTTAATTTATTTTCAAGCTGATGTTGAACCTTTGAATTAACGAATTAGTGCCATTGCAAGCAATTTTTATTGAAGTAAACAACGTACAACTCTCATGATATAGAAATCACCGTTCAAAAAAGGTAAGACTACGGACCTTGCCCGGCCGATGTCGAAGAAGTTGACCCCCAAAAATGATATAATAAACACCCAAAACAAAAAATAGCAGCAAAACATTCTCCCTCCTCTGGAATAAAAAGTGGCATCGATGTGCTAAACAAAGCCGCAGCAGCAAGCAGTCTCTCAAAGGCTACTTAGTTTTATCTTTTCTTTGGATTCTCTCAATGGGAACTGTGGAATTAGATGCATCAACAAAGCTAGATAAGAAACCCAAAGTGGAGCCTGAAATAGACGAGAGCGAGCTCTCACCGATAGAAGAAGTTCGTCTAACAGTGCCCAACACCGATGAGCCTTCACTCCCAGTATGGACTTTTCGGATGTGGTTCTTGGGTCTTTCCTCTTGTTTGCTTCTTTCCTTCCTCAACCAGTTCTTCGGCTACCGTTCGGAGCCACTCGTCATCACCCAAATCACTGTCCAAGTGGCAACTCTCCCCATCGGACGGTTCATGGCTTCTGTTCTTCCTACGACTAAGTTTCCAATACCTGGGTTTGGTTCCAGGCAATTCTCGCTCAACCCGGGACCCTTTAACATGAAGGAGCATGTTTTGATTACGATATTTGCTAATGCTGGGAGTGCATTCGGGAGCGGTACTGTTTACGCCGTTGCTATTGTTACCATTATCAAGGCTTTTTATGGGAGGAGCATCTCTTTCTTGGCTAGTTGGCTTCTTATCATTACTACACAGGTTCGTTTACTCTACTATACATGTATGTTAATAAGGTACAGTAACAGTTTTAAAAGAAAAGTCTGAGACTACGGAATAAGAAGTTCTCAGGTTTAAATTAACCCTCGTTTTGATGTTGTGTAATGTTTTAAAAATGAAAAACAAAGAGGAAATGAACCATCTTTCCTTTGCAAAGTGTCGATAGCAATGCTATCACTAAGCGCAGTTGGTTTTGGGTTTGGTTATTCTTGTTTCTGGTAAGTTATATATGCTCAGGTTCATCGGTATATGGTGTGATTTGTCTAGCGCAGGTGATGGGATATGGCTGGGCGGGGCTCCTGCGGAAGTACGTGGTCGAGCCGGCGCATATGTGGTGGCCCTCTACTCTTGTTCAAATTTCTCTATTCAGGTAATTCAAGCTCTTTGGTCTTATCCCAATATTTGTTATCCATTTGAAACGACAAAGGAGTAGAGTTAGAGCATTTTTTAAAAAAGGGCTAAATAAAAAGAAACATTAAATAATCAAAAAATTTTATATAAATTCAATTATCACTTATTAAAAGATAATAAAATTATTAAATATTAAACATGTAAAAAAATATACATTAATAATGATGATGGGTGTATATATATATATATATATATGACTGAATGGAATTATGAAAAGAGTGTCTCTCACTTTTTGTGTACAAGAGTAGAAAAGAAAATAATTTTTCAAATTCAAACGAATTATCTCTTTACCTTGTATGCTCTAGCTCTCTCTTATTTTCTATTTACTCTTAAATTGCTAATTAACAAGATTGGGTTATCGGTTAAACTATTGAGATATAATATTTATTATAGTATATTGGTTAACTGTTAAGATATAATATTTATGATAAACTTAGATTTATGTTAAAACTTAATGAGTTTGGATTACTAGACTCATTTTTATATTTTTTTAAATTTGATAGACTTAACATATTAGTTTAGAATATATTTGTTGGGCTTGACGAACAATATGCTAACTACAATGACTAGGAGAGTGCATTAATTGATTACAACCGTGCAACCGACCGAAACCAACGCCGACGGTCATAGTCGGCTCGATTATTTGGTGCTACTTTGAAAGTCGCGTTAATTGTCGTTTGAGTGTTTGACAGTTCAGTACCAGCCACACTACCTCCCACCCGAGTCGTATGAAAAACGAGGGAGGGGTGAAATTTTCATTTTAGCCCTTTAATCTCCTTTTGTCTTCTTTCTCTTTCTCAATTGTTGTATTCACTCATAAAATTAACCCATTTTTTCCCTTTAAAACCCTAAAAACCTTATTGGCTTCTTCCTTGATCCTCATCAATGGCGTCGTTGGCCCCTTGTTGCCGTGTTGTCCTCCTCGCCAGTCACCGATCATATCTTGCAAACTTGCAATTGCTGCCATCTTCCCTTTGTTCAAGCTCAAGCTCAAGTCAAGCCCATCCACCCTCCAACCGACGAAACGATGAAATCGAAGTCGGTTTCGATTGATCGATTTTTCCTTACGACTGGTCGATCTCGGTCTGTCGTAAGGAAATTCTGTTTCAATCAGTTTTGATTCCTCCCGAAATCGAAATCAACCGATGCTCAGCCCTAATAATGATTCTAATTTTATAAAACAATTTGAAGAATAAAAATAATTATTAAATAAAAAATATTTTGAGAGCCTTTTAAAATGTATAATAAATAAAATTATATTGAAAGAAATACAATTATTTCATTCTATCAATTTATATATATATCCTTGTTATTTAAATTTTACAATATATATTAGAATGCATTGGTTATTTTAAATCAAAAATGATATATTGATGAAATTCTATACTACAATTTATATTAGAATTATATAATAATTTTATTATTTTTAAAGATTAAAATATAAAAATAAAATCTACATAACAAAAAAAAAAAGAACAAGACAAGTATAAGATAAAATTCACATATGATATAATAAAAAAAGAAAAAGAATATGATTGATGGTTTATAGAAATTTATGAAAAAAAAATCTATAGAAATTTAAAATATATGAGTAAATAAAATAGAAATAAAAATAATAAAATAAATTAAAAAAATAAAAACAACATTAAAATGGAGTCACAGATATGAAATTATTTAATTTGTTATTCTTTGTTTGTATTAATTATTAAATATAACATTATTTTGAGAGGTTATTAAGAAAATTTATTTAAAAATTTTAAAAAATTATATAATATGTAAAAAAAATTAAATTTTGAGAGTGCCATGACCCCACATCACATAAAGAGGCTCCACCTCTGAAACGACATATCACATGAAAGTACTAGAAAAATATCTGTGTTTAATTGGCTTCTTCAACAACCCGTACCTTACCTGATAAATTTTAATGCAAAAAGTATCACCAAGGATCCTGAAATCTAGTGCGTTATTCTAATTCTAAAAGTAATTTATGAATAGTTTTCAATTTTCTCAAATGAATAATGAATTTGATACATATTTTTGTATGTATTTCACATTTATATGCTGGCTGGCTGATTATCCATCATATTAATTATTATATAATTAAGTATTTTTAGTCATTTTTATCTATCTTATATATATATATATATATATAATTGTGAGAAGGAGTATTCGAATCTTATTCTTTAAGTAGGAAGATAATACATGAATTAATAAACTAAATACTTAAATACATATATATATATATATATATACAATCTTAATTTTAGAAAAAACTTAAGTCTACCAACTTATGCAAATTGGTTAACTGAAAGTATTTTTGTAACTTATTTTCCCATTGGCTATCTGTAGACAATATCCCTTGAAAATCATTCTAAGTTATCAATGGATACTTTCGCCAGTGAATAATTAAAAAAGATCCTTTATTGATAGAAATCGTTTGTCAATAAATTTTTTATCTTTTTAATTTAATAATGTCAAAATCTTTTTTGACAATTTTTTGACTATATAGTGTTTGTCAAAAATTTTCATAAAAAATTGATCAATGAGTTATCAAATAAGGTAATACTAATAACATGTTTAATAAAAATTATAATGTGACATTATTTTAATAGATACCTAAAACAACTCACTTTTAAGATGATTTTAGTATAATTTAACTCAAGTTAAAACATATTAATATATTTTATTTAGATAAAAAATTAAAAAATTAATAAACTTACGTTAAATTATGATTAAAAATTAAAAATAAAAGTATTTTATCCAAAAAAAAAATCATCAATACCGAATAGGCTTAGTGAGAGTTCCAAATCAAATATAGACCTTAGATAGATTAATTGGCGCCCGTGATGAATTCTGCTGCTGATTTTTCAGGACGCTGCATGAAAAGGAAGAAAATGATGGCAAGCGCCGCATTTCACGAGCGAAATTCTTCGTGATCGCACTAGTTTGTAGCTTTTGCTGGTACATCGTCCCTGGGTACCTTTTCAACACATTGCAAAGCATCTCCTTGGTCTGTTTGGCTTTCCCCCATTCAGTAACTGCCCATCAAATCGGGTCAGGCCTGAGTGGTCTCGGCATAGGGGCCTTTACTCTCGACTGGACAACAGTTGCCTCCTTCTTGTTTAGCCCTCTCGTTTCGCCCTTCTTTGCCATTGTAAATGTCTTCATAGGATATGCCTTGATAATTTATTTTGCGATGCCAATATCTTACTGGGGCCTGAACCTGTACAATGCCAAAACTTTCCCGATATTTTCAGCGGACTTGTTTACTTCACAAGGTCAGTTGTATAACATTACACAGATTGTTAATGAGAAGTTCGAGCTAGATCTGCCAGAATACGAGAAGTTAGGGAGGATCCATCTGAGCACTTTCTTCGCTCTCACCTATGGATTTGGGTTTGCCACCATTGCGTCCACAGTAAGTCATGTGGCCTTGTTCTATGGAAGGTAATTCCTTTGTACTAATTCAGAAGGAAAAATTCACTGTTCTTATTGCACTCTCCAAGACTTTCAGTTAATCACTGAACATCTACTGAAGCTGCATCTTAAGTAAAGAGGATCGTGTTAATTACAGGGAAATTTATAGTAGATACCGAGCTTCTTCCAGGGAAAAGGCCGATATACACACTAGGTTGATGAGAAATTACAGGGACATACCTTCATGGTGGTTCTATTTGCTTCTTCTCGGCTCAATTGTTGTTGGCCTTGCACTCTGCATCTTCCTTAACAAGGATGTCCAGATGCCTTGGTGGGGACTGTTATTTGCTGCTGCACTCGCCTTCGTCTTCACCCTGCCTATCAGCATCATAACAGCCACGACAAATCAGGTTCTTTAAGATAAATTTTGGTTATCAATAGAGATAAAATATTTTAAATTTCCATTTATTTGACTTTTATAGTAACTTTAAGATTCCTAAATGCAAAAGTTTTTATTCTCTCCCTGCAGACACCAGGGCTAAATATCATTACAGAGTATATAATGGGGGCAATATTGCCTGGAGAACCAATAACCAATGTCTGTTTTAAGACCTATGGGTACATAAGCATGGCTCAGGCAGTTGCTTTTCTTAGTGATTTCAAGCTCGGTCATTACATGAAAATCCCTCCAAGATCAATGTTCCTGGTTCAGGTATTATAACATATTCTCTCTATAATTGTTTCGTTTTCTTAGAACTAACAGATCTTTATTTTCCTGCTTCTAATTCTCTTACATTTTTCAATTGTTGCATTTGCACACCAGTTCATCGGGACCGTTTTAGCAGGAACAGTTAACCTTGGCGTGGCCTGGTGGCTTTTAACTTCTGTTGATAACATATGCCACAAAGATCTTCTTCCAAAAAATAGTCCTTGGACATGCCCCGGTGATAGAGTCTTCTTTGATGCATCTGTTATATGGGGTCTGGTTGGACCTAAGCGAATTTTTGGCTCTCTTGGACAATACTCAACACTTAACTGGTTCTTCCTAGGAGGACTTTTGGGACCAGTTGTGGTATGGCTTTTGCACAAGACATTTCCTAGTCAGTCTTGGATTCCCCTTATCAATCTACCAGTACTTTTGGGTGCAACTGGTAGCATGCCTCCAGCATCACCATTGAACTATACTTCCTGGATTTTGGTTGGTACCATCTTCAATTTCTTCGTCTTCAGGTATCGAAAGCAATGGTGGCAGAGGTATAACTACATTCTATCAGCAGCACTGGATGCGGGAGTAGCCTTCATGACAGTCCTGCTTTACTTTGCACTAGGCTTGGAGAATAAGAGTTTGAATTGGTGGGGTTCTAGTCCTGATTATATTCCTGAACACTGTGATTTAGCAGGTTGCCCCACTGCAAAGGGCATATCAGTTGATGGGTGCCCAACATTTTAAGCTTCATGTTTTCCTTTCTATGTTCATAGTTAATGCTGTACTCTGTTCAAATCTGCTACTTTATTTTTCTGAAGGTCTCAGCAAGTCACAGAATACCAAAAAAAGCATTCAAGCTTAATGAAAGAATTTGTGTGATTCATAATAAGCTGGGTTGGCTAAACAATTATGTATATAAGCTAAGTTTGTGTCATTTTTACTGTTGTTAATAGCATTATTATTCACTCTACAAATAGGTTGGTGAGTGCATAAATCATTAGATTAAAAGGTCTCCCCGTCCTTTTCCTTTTTAAATCATTCTTACCGTACATAACCTTAAACATGGTGAATGATTCAACTCAAGAGCACTGATTTCCATAAATCTTGCAACCTTTGGAGCAGAGCCCTGGTTGGATTTTCCATAATTTCTTGGAGAGCTGAATGGAATCATAAAGTATACGTTCCCAAAATTGCTTAATGGGTCCGTCTGCTGTAGCCCTAGTCCTATTTGCCTACACCACTTGAAGCGGTCGCCATTCTTTGACTTTTAGAACTTTTCCTGCGGTAGGTTATCGTTAAAGAAACAAGGATCATGGAATAAAGTCAAAATCAAGAAATTACATTATAAATATATAAATGAGCTTTTTCTTTTGGTTTTCCCACTCTTTCCATTAGCTTTTAGTGATAATTTCGTCATAAATAATATAGGCAAAAATAGAGTTGCCAACCAAAGATGGAAATTACCTTCTGTAATACCTAGTTTGGCATTATAATTAATTAGATTGTACACTAATTTATGGCTGAAGTAATTTGAAAAAAAAGTTGAACTTAACATAAATATACTAAATCCAGCTGGCATTTTTATTATTTGCCATCCAAATTATAGCTTTTAATAAATGACCCAATAACCCAAGGTCAAATTCACCTTAAAATTTTTTATGTAGTAAATAATATTGCTTTGTGTTAGATTTTTTTACTAATACTAATTAATAAGGGTTTTTCCCATCTCTTTTCTTTTCTTTGGAGTTTTTTCTTAATAGGAATATATGATAAGAGTCCCTTGATTCTTTTTAAATGAAATAAGGGCTCTTTGTTTTTTTTGTAAAGAAATAAGGACTCTTGTTCCCTCAGAAGAGTGGATTACTAAAGAACCTATTTTCACTCAACTGCCAACATCATACAAGTTAGCCTTGAAGTTATTAATAATAAATGGGATTAACGTGGTAAGCAGAAAAGGGAAAAAACGTAGAGCGTTGGCTACCTTACAGGTATATACACATAATCAAGAAACAGTACAGATACAATTCTTACTGATCCCACAAGCCCTTCTTAAAAGGCCTCTTGATCGTTATGCATTAATCAAGGGAATGAGCTTCTTCTACGGGGGAGACGTCATCTTCGTCGACCGCCGAAACGACGTCTGCGCTGTACTCTATTTCCAGAGACCTGTTTTTTCCTTGTTCTTTTTGGGTTTGTTGAGGGAGGATATCTACTGCGTCTTTGGGAACCTGTTTTTTGGCCAACACTCTCTCAATGTCGTCTCTGGAAATAGAGTACAGCGCAGACGTCGTTTCGGCGGTCGACGAAGATGACGTCTCCCCCGTAGAAGAAGTTCGTCTTACCGTTTCTAACGACGACGACACAACACTCCCCGTTTGGACATTCCGAATGTGGTTCCTGGGACTCTTCTCATGCTGTCTTCTTTCCTTCCTCAACACTTTTTTCAGTTACCGTACGGAGCCGCTCCAGGTTACCATGATCTCCATCCAGGTGGCGTCACTCCCTGCGGGAAAGTTCCTGGCGAGAGTACTACCAACCACCAAGTTTAATATCCCCGGATTCGGAAACCGGGAGTTTACGCTTAACCCGGGTCCTTTTAACGTTAAAGAGCATGTCTTGATCTCTATCTTCGCTAATGCTGGGGCTGCCTTTGGAGGCGGTACGGCTTATGCTATTGGTATCGTGAATATTATTCGGGCCTTTTATCATAAAAAGATTAGTTTTTTGGCTAGTTGGATTCTAGTCGTCACCACACAGGTTAAAATTCCCACTCCAAAAAAAAAAAAAAAACCTTCAATCTTGGAGCTCCTTTTGTCTCTCATTTGTAGTTGTCTAAATTTTAACAGGTTTTGGGGTATGGATGGGCGGGGATTATGAGGAAGTTCGTGGTGGAACCTGCGCACATGTGGTGGCCGAGTAGCCTGGTTCAGGTTTCTCTCTTCAGGTAAAAGAACACTGTCGTTTATGCATTTGCATCTGCCTCATGATCCTAGTGACGAAACGAATTTCGTTTTTTGTGGGCAATTTCTGTGAATGAGAATTGAATTTATGGTTCATTATTTCACCCTCTGGATTAGTACAACATTTAAACTATGGCTGTGTCTAGGATCATTAATCCGAACTAGATGAGCCCAGGTCTGAGCTAATCTGTGCTTGAGGGATATAAAAGCAGACTTAAAGTTGAAAGTGAGTTTATTTAATCAGTTCCCCGTACTGTTATTTTATCTGGTTATGCCTATGGTGTTCATTAGTTTAACGTCGTAGATTAAAATCCATTGGATATTTATATTTTAGCCCGTCTTGGATAGAATTTTTTGAAGGGGGGTGAAATGTTGGGTGGCTTTTACCTCCATCTTGCGCACATATGCTATGTTTGATAATTGTACATGTTGGAGACAACTGGGTTGGGCTATATAGGTTGATACATGGACTGGAGCAGAGCAAAGGACCAAACTGATCTGGAAAATTGGAATCCAAGGTAATTCAAACTCAGCACGAAAGTTAATGCTGAGGCCAAATATGGAAATTTTGCCAGACTGTATTCCTCGGTTAAATGTAATGTACTAGTGACAGATTTTCCACTCCAATATATCGTTCTAATGCTCATACAGGCCTTCCATTTCTGGCCAACTAGGATTCTATTTTTGGAATTCAGATTCTGCCACCCTGTAATTATGCTGTTTCTCTTTAGTCCTTTCCCCGGTTTGTCTTAGAGTGCCTCTACCTACTTTCAGCACAAAACCAAAATTTTATTTTATTTTACTAGAAAAGGGAAATCAAAGATGATTTGTTTTTTAATTTTGATAGTATAGAATAACATGGTTTGAAATTGCACATTTTTATTGTTAATGCGCGAAGAAATTGCAAAACACACCATCAGCCAATTATGTTTACACATTATTTACAGGGCCATGCATGAGAAAGACAGCAAACGCATGTCCCGAGGGAAGTTCTTCTTGATTGCACTTATTTGCAGCTTCTCCTGGTATGTGTTTCCAGGCTACCTCTTCCCCACATTATCAGCCATTTCTTGGGTCTGCTGGGCTTTTCCCAAGTCAGTAACTGCCCAGCAGATCGGATCAGGCATGGAGGGGATTGGCGTTGGATCCTTTGCCATTGACTGGTCAGTCATAGCCTCTTTCCTTGGCAGCCCTCTGGTCACCCCTTTTTTCGCAATTGTTAACATCTTTGTAGGCTATGCGTTATTTATGTATATCATACTTCCAATTGCCTATTGGGGAGTAAATGTATATAACGCCAAGAATTTCCCAATTTTCTCCTCGCATTTGTTTAATCACAATGGAGAACGATACAACGTATCAGCAATTGTAAATGACAAATTTGAAATAGAATTGCCAGCATACGAGCAGCAGGGACGTGTAAACCTGAGCGTGTTCTTTTCTCTCACCTATGGTATTGGCTTTGCTGCCATTATAGCTACTCTTTCGCATGTGGCTGTTTTTAATGGAAAGTGAGTAATCAAAAACTTTTAATTTTATTGCTTGTCACCTCATTTTTGGCTTTGTTTTTTGGTCTTAATTAATCTTTGACATATAATTTGTGTTGAATGTTGGAACAGGGAGATATATGCACAACTGCAAGCTTCTTTCAAGGGAAAAGAAGATATCCACACCAAGTTAATGAAGAAGTATAAGAACATACCTAACTGGTGGTTTCACCTGATGCTTGTGTTGACATTGCTACTCTCCCTTGTGATGTGTATTTTTTTGAAACATGAAATTCAAATGCCTTGGTGGGGACTCATCTTTGCGGCAGGCCTTGCTTTAGCTTTCACTCTTCCTATCAGCATCATAACTGCCACTACAAATCAGGTAAGAAACTCCCACGTTTATATGTACTTTTCTCTGCCAGGTAATCATGCAGGAACCCAAAGAAAATTACTAGTAAAATTTAGCAAAGAAGCCGGCAATAAATGTTACACTACAAAGCATTCTAAAATCATGTAATTCTGAGTTATCACTAGATTGTTCTTTTGGTTTCCCATATCTGATTACTTTGTGGATCCATCCAGCTTACCTTTGTTTGCTAATGATTGGAGCCCGGAGGCATTGAGCGCTATGTGATTAACATGCATGCTGATTTTCACCCTTTTTGTTGCCAGTCACCAGGACTCAATATCATCACAGAGTACATCATGGGTTACATATTACCAGGAAAACCAATAGCCAATGTCTGCTTTAAAACTTACGGATATATAAGCATGGCACAGGCAGTTTCCTTTCTTAATGATTTCAAGCTGGGCCATTACATGAAGATTCCACCAAGATCGATGTTTGTAGTCCAGGTAAATCTCCTGAAATATACACTTGATTTTGAAAAAATATTTTTTAATGATCATTGTAAATCTAATCGTTAATTAATCGTTAGTGTTTTCGTCAACTTGTTGATATAGCAAAAATAAAAAAATAATTTTATTTTTGATTAATTTTTATAATTATAATTATATAATTTTATTTTTTTATTAATTAAAAAAAAAACTCTCCAAACCCTTAAAGCACTGTCCAGTTTCCTAAGGGAGCACCGGCCGGTGCTTTCTTTTCTTGAGGAGCTGGGAGCACCGATTGGTATTTTTTATTTTTTTAAAATATAATAATAATTTTTTAAATTAATAAAAAAGTATTTTAATTTTTTATTATTTTTATTAACAGTATTTTTAATATTTGAGCTAATTATATATTTTAAAAATTAATAAATTTTTGTGTAATTTTAATTAAAATTTTAAAAATAAGGTATTTTATCCAATATTTGAAAAAAATTAATGATATTGAGCGAATTAAAATTTAGCCAGTAAATTTAACAGAAAAGTAATAAATTTGATCACTCTTCCTGGAGAGCCGGAGACGGAAGCCCCCACCTCGAGAGAAACAGAAAAGACGGCTTATTACATTTAACCGAAAAATCACAAAAATAAAAAAAAATCCTTTTAATTAGCTCTTGTAATAATTTCCCTCACGATCACTCTCGAAGGTAAATTTGTAATAAATCAAAACAGTAAATGAGTCAATTGAGTGAAGTAGATAATAGTAATATAATAAATATAGATAGATTTGACAAGTTAAAAGAAGGAACCATCAAATTAATTCCCGATCCTAGTGTCTATAGCATCATAAATTATCTAGAACTCTACTTGTTTTTGAGATTATCCGTGTTAAGATGCTGTTAAGTGCTCTTTGAGCAGCTGCTCCTTTTGTAATTGTTCAAAACAAGCTCTTTTTATTATAGCTTCCATGCCAACAGGAGTCTCCAAATCTCAACGGTATTCCAGCTCATCATTAATAAAAACCATCTTTCAAAAAAAAATTTTGTGCATCCTAAGATAAATTATATAAGAACAGAACAGGATCCTTTGTAGGGTTGCTTTTTTTTTTCTAATGCCTTTCCTCCTATTTGTGTTCTATTGAAAGGCCATGGGAACTATAATAGCCGGAACAATCAACCTTGCAGTAGCATGGTGGCTGCTGACTACCGTTGAGAACATATGCCAGGATCAACTACTTCCTCCCAACAGTCCCTGGACATGTCCTGGTGACCGAGTCTTCTATGATGCATCTGTTATCTGGGGTCTGGTTGGACCAAAAAGGATCTTCGGTCCTCTTGGAAACTACGCCGCTCTCAACTGGTTCTTCCTTGGAGGTGCCTTTGGACCTGTCGTGGTATGGCTATTCCACAAAGCTTTCCCTAATCAGAAATGGATCTCACTGATCAACCTTCCAGTGCTCTTGGGAGCAACAGCGGCAATGCCACCAGCAACATCACTGAACTTCAATTGCTGGATTATTGTTGGAGTCATCTTCAATTACTACGTTTTTAAATACCGGAAAGGTTGGTGGCAGAGGTACAACTATGTTCTCTCAGCAGCCCTTGATGCTGGCTTGGCTTTCATGGGAGTGCTCTTATATTTCACATTGACCATGCAAGGCATTAGCATATCCTGGTGGGGAGCCGAAGGAGAGCACTGCGATCTGGCTTCCTGTCCAACTGCCAAAGGCATAGTTGTAGATGGCTGTCCAGTGTACTAGATTTGTTTCAACTTCACATCAAATATATCTTAGGCTTTTAGCACTCTAGACTTTCATAAGGAGCTCATCATCGAGAAAGAAGAAAACATAAAGATGTATTTGTAAATCTCGCAACTGTTTTTTTTTTACTTTTTTACATATATTATGTTTCTATATTGAATTTCTTCCCTGCAAATAGAAGAGCTTACAAATCATCTATCTAAGCACTTCCTTCAGCACTGTACTGATACTGTAACGCATGAACAATCCTCGCTCTCCAGTCTCCACCATAGAACAAAATTAAAACAAAAGAAAAAAAAAGGAAAGAAACAAAAGAAATGTAAAAGAATATTTATCTCCACATTTCAACGGATCAAACTGGCTGGCCAAAGTCATTTTACTTGTCCGCAACTGATCTTGATGAAGGAGCAGCATATCGGGAGGAGAACCCACGATACAGAGAGCCCTCAATATCATCATCCCCACAGCCCTCGTCAAAGTTTTGGGCATAGCTCAAAGGGTCGTACCTAAAGCCGCCAACTGGTCTTGGTTGTTTTGCCCTGAAAGCTGCCGTTATGCTATTGCCCAAACTTGTTATTCTTCTTTTTGTCCATGGAAGCTTCAGCTTGAGACGACCCCAGCACGAAAGCAACCCTTCCTCATTTGTGTTCCTCGGAGGTGAACTTCTCTCCATGGTTTTTGAGCTTTTTCCAAGAGAAACTTTCTTGGCTTCTAAATGATGATATGTTTTCTTTATGAAAGGTTGTGGGGTCTCAAGATTTTCACTCACTTCTTTGCTTTGGGTTTTGATTGTGTGGTAGAGAAGAAGAGCATCAGAATGGAGAAAATGTCGTTCTCCTTTTGGTTTTTAAGAATGGAAACAAAGAAAAGGTGGGACGTAACGCAGTGGGAATCTAATTAAGGTACGGAGCCAGAGAGAGTGAAGAAATATTTGTCGCTATTCGTTTCGCCAAACAAAAGTATGCACATTGATGGTGTCATAAATTTGCACCATTGGATACGCTGTAGAAATGTAGATTCTTCAAGCAATGTAGAAACTTGATGACAGCGTCGAGTTTATTCAAGCAAAAAACCATAAATTGGAGTTTTGAACCATAAATGTTAAATTTATCAGTAATAATAATAATAATAATAATAAAAGACCATCATTGAAATTCCCATAGTTATGAGATTCACATTGAACTTTATGGGGGGTTTTTTTTTTTCTTGATAATGAAGATAACTTTTTTTTTTTTTGGAAAGACAGTTGTGAATTTCATTAGAAGAGAGAGAGAGAAAGTTTCCCTAACACAAGAACAAAGAGCGGCCACCTAAAGAGACGTTGTCGTTTGACGGTACGCTTAAAATTGGAGGCTTTGCAGTGAGAATATCCTCATATTGATGGTTGATGCCATTCAAAAAACATAAAAGAAAGAAACTTGGGTGGATAAATCACTTGCTATAAGTAATGGCCGTCAAACCATGTGATTCAAGGGCGTAGACAGCTGCCGTCCTCATCTGGTCCATCCTTTCCTTGGGCACCTGTCACTGTATCCTACACTCGTACAGTCACCATTGTATTTTTCCTTTCCCTCTTTATCCAGTTATTATGCCAACATCCTTGCAACGAGCCTGAGATATCACTACATTTATCCTTACCAGCTGCCTCTTTCCTGTGTTTAATGTCCTTGGGCATCACTAAAAAGATCATACTTGATATTTGGCTTTAGATAGCCCAAAAATTCCTGACTAAAAGCTCAGCTGATAGAAGACTGGCATGGGTGTTTAATAATGGTAGTTGCCAGTCAAAGTGTCACAACATGGACCAATATCTCTATCAGTAACAAGGCTTCTCAGAAATGTATAGAAGAAACTATTTTAAGTGCTCTTCAAAGCAAGTTAAAAGAGAACACAAGCACGAAAAAGGAACAATGCCCCTGGAAGTTCTGGTTTTTAATCTACTCCAGGAGTTTGATAGAGTGAGACTCCTATACAGCTTCCCAAATGATGAATGAGACTCAAAAGTGATAAACACTGATGTCAGAACCTAAAGACACAATTTTTACCATCAAAAAAGTAGCAAGAGGACTCTTAGAAGTACCATGACACTCATAGCAGATGTAACAAACATGATGAACAATATGGTAGGTATATTTTAGCTTTAACAATTGCACAACATTTTTCTGCCTCAATCACATGGTCCTAATGGAATAAAATAGAAGAGGGAGGGGACATCCTTTCTTCTTCTTAAGTGCCCTGAAAAGCACAATTTATATGGTAAGTTAATACTATTTGCCCAGCACTTACATATAGCAGAGAGAAAAAATGCACCTATATCTATCAGGTGCTTTACCATCACAAATTCACATTCCAATCATTGCAGCAGAGTATTTTGACGCATGCAGATTTAATGCCCCATCATGAGTAAAGAGAGAGGAAGGCATCTAGAAAATTTCTTTTAGTAAATTGAATGTAATGCCATGAGAACCAATGAAATAATCCACAAAGAACCTTCTAAGAACGAAACTAATAGACATTATATTGAGCAGAAGACATAGCTACAACATCAGCCGCAAGCTATCAGAAAACTGAAAAGCATGTATAAGCTTAAAGAAAGGATATAAACCAATGTTTATGACAGGTGGAAAGTATAATTCGAGACCAAAAAGTAGAACTCCAACAGGCAAAAGGGGGAGGCTACATGGCTATCTACCAAAATTGAACTTGGACATCATTCAAGAGTGAGGAGAACAATGAGTAAATGCAGTCTCCTAGCTTGCAGAAAGTGGGGCAAGCAGTATAAAGCAGCAAGAATTACCATTGGCCACCCAGAGGAGAACTAAATACAGCATGCACCACAGCCTACATCTTGACAGCTACCTGTTCTGCTGAACTTTTCTTCACAACTCCTCTGGAGCACAACTCATTTAGTAACTCCAAAGCCTCATTAGCAAAGCCTTCGTAAGCTAAACCTTCAATGAGAATGGTGTATGAAGATTCAGTAGGTTTACATCCCCTCATCACCATATAAGCCAAAAAGTCGATTGCACGATCAGTCTGTCGAGCCTTACAAAGGCCCAGCATGATAGAGTTATAGGTTATGGCATTTGGCCTAATACCCATTCTCTCAAAGTCATGAAAAAACTTTATTGCATCATCAACCTTTCCTTCCCTACTAAGTCCTCCAACAAGTGAAGAGTAGGTAATTATATCAGGCTTTAGACCCTTGGCACGCATCTCTTCTAAAAGTTTTATAGCTTGATCTGTTTTCCCTACCTTTGAGAGCCCATCAATCACAGTATTGTATGTGATCAAAACAGGCGAGCAACCCTTCGTACTTAGCTGATTGAGAATCTCAACTGCCACATCAACCTTCCCATCTTTGCATAATGCTGTGAGCAAAGTGTTATAAGTCACAATGTCAGGGTAGCAACCTCTAGACACCATTATCTCCAAATACTCAATTGCTCTCTCCATCTTCTTTTCTTTGCAGAACCCATGAAGCAGTGGATTATAACTTAAGGAATTAGGAGTACACCCATGCTTGGGCATCTTCTCCAAAATGTCAATTGCTCGGCCCAGTAAACCCTTCCGGCATAAGAAATTAATCAGGATATTAAAAGTAACTACACTAGGAGAACAGCCTTTGCGAAGCATATCAGCTAACAACCTCTCTGCATCCATCCACCTGCCAGTGCTACACATGCTACGCAAGATAATATTATGAGTAATCACATTGGGTTGGCATCCATATGATGGCATGTTAATCAAGAACTTGATTGCTTCATCCAATCTCCCCTCCTTACAAATCCCATTGACAAGAACATTATAAGTAACCACATCTGGTTTACATCCTCTACTCCTCATCTCGTCCAATAGCTTCATAGCCTGTCCAACACCGCTTTCCTTGCAAGTCGCTTCAATCAAAATTGTATATGTAATCACATCTGGATAACATTCTCTCTGCAATTGTCGATCCAAAACTTCCATTGCTTGCTTCAACTTCCCACTATCACACAAGCTTCGCAAAATTGTATTATATGTAACAACATCTGGAGCGACACTCATTCGATCCAAAACTTGTAAAGCATTATCAATCTCCCCTGCCTTGCAATAGCCACCAATCAACACATTATAAGTTATAACATCAGGAACTGCCCCTGAATCTTCTATAATCTCCATAACCCGCGTAGCCTTCCTAGTCTTGCCTTTCTTACAAAATCCACGAATTAAACTTGTACAAGCTATAATATCAGGAATCTCACCATGATAAACCATGCCCTCAAGAAGCTTAAACCCTTCTTCCAGTTCACCATTTCTAACAAATTTACGGAGTTGATTATTGCTACCAGATTCCTCAAAATTGTGCAAGGATTTCAGCGGACTAGATGAAACATGACCATTTCCCAAGTGCCCTTGTGAAGAGCTGTCAAGATTTTGCAACCTACCATTAACGCCAGCACTTTCAACCTTTGAAACAGCAAGGACCCCACACCGCCTTTGCTTTTGAAACCCCACAGGTTTGCATCCCGCATAAGCTTTCACAGAACTAAAATTGGCAACAGCTTTAGCCTTAACCCTAGCTTCTAAAAACCTATTACCATTTCTTAAACCCTCCCTGTGAAAGTGTTGAAACGAACAAAACCCTTCATGGGCATGATTTGTATGTACTATCGTATCCATACTTCACTTACGAGTTTGTAAATAACCAAAATATCAATACTCAAAAACCATCCCTTACAAAAGTACTAAAATATAGAATCTCATAGAAACCAGGAAGTTAAAGGCGAGTTATTCCAACAAAGCTATGTGAAGAGACCCTGCCTTTCTTTACCAGAAAAGTGATAGGTATTCATATGGGACTGTTTCAAGAGAGTAAAGAGAGGGAGCTTACCTTGAGATAGGCTTGGTGAAGTGATAACTTGACAGGTGGGAGAGGGTGCCGGCGCTGTGGCTTTATCCAGTTTTGTTTTCTTCTGCTTATGGTTTCTATGAAATATATCTGCACTTGAACTCTGTGGCATTGGACTGATTGGGAGGTGACTGCGAATATAGAGGCTAATTGGACTAAAAGGAGAGTGGGCTCCAACCCAGTAATTATGTTCCCAATTTGGGTTCATACCGATGTCCGCACAATCCTGGGCTCCCTGGATCATTTTCCATATCAGGGGTTATGGACCTTGAGCTCTTATATGTTTCTATCATAAACTCAAATCATATACTTTCATACATTAATTAATATAATTATTTCAATCAGGTAAATTAGTTACCACTTATAAATTTCTGAAAAGTGATTTTTGTATTTATATTCATATAAACAACTATAATTAAGGGTTCACACTACTTGAGCTATTACCTAACTAATATATTCATCAAGTGTTAGTTCAACTAAAATTTATTCAAGCATTATTACACATAAAGTGCTCAAATAAAAAGAAAAAAGTAACTCTCTAATGAGTATGGAAGTGTTAATCGAATTGAATTTAGACATAGATCATCAGAATTAATAATCAGTAGTTATAGATAAATCGCACTAAGTAGTATATCCATGTTGCACTAAAGTGACATATATATAGATATACACATTAATATTAATAATTAAAATATTATGTATTCCATAATGACAATCGTAATATCTCATTTCTCTCTACTTGTTCGTAATTGATCTCAATAAAATATCTTTATGATGACATTTGCTGTGACATCATTTTGAACTTTTAAAATTGCACTAAGGTGATAAGTTAATTTTTTATTATTTTTTTTACATACGAATACTTTCATATGTTAATGCTTAGTGTTGGTAAGCAATTAAAATGTTATGATTCGCTCCGGGATTTGGGTCCTTCGGGACTTTGCACTCTGCCTTGGACAGTTGGACTCAATACCTAACTATCAAGACACGAGATGGTTGCTTCCAGTTATTCTGCCTGGTCCTCGGAATTTGATACTTAACCTGGTAAATTGTACTTTTTAACAGATGGTTGTTTCTCTTTGGCCTGCTTTAACAGTCAAACAATGAGCTGTAAAAAGAAAAGAATAAAAAAGGATCGTTTCAAACTTTATCAATATTAACTGGTGAAAATCAAAGGAGACCTGTCAAATTTTGTTTCAATTACCTACCTATCTGTCGGGTGGTATGGAGATTGCCACCGCATTGAAAAGAAAAGAATGACGCTATTTCCCCCGTTACCGACAGGAAGATTTTCGAAGAAAAAATAAAAAAATAAAAAAATCAGTAACTCAATTAATCTAATATTGATTGGTATATAATTTTTTTATTTAAAAAGTAAAATTTAAATTTTTTTTCTTTTAATTATTAAAAAAACCAATCTAATATTGACACGAACCTTATTCTATAAAGAGTTCCAGGTTCTTTAGGCTGGCACGGAACTTTCTACTTTGCTTTTGCTTTTGCTTTTGCTTTTGCTTTTGATTCCCTTCGAATTGTAGACTTGGACTTGGAAAACCAAAACGTTAGGTGTTCAATGTACCCTGCCTCTGATGAGAGTAAACAGGTAAAAAATAAAAGGAAATTAATTAAGGGACTGGGTTATATGGGAAAGATTTTGACGTGGGAATCTTGTTACGGGACTGCCGACAGGGATTTTCAGCAATGCAAACTACAAATGTAACAATGGTATTGGTCCTATTGCGCTTTATGCTTTTGTTAATCTCTCAGTGATAAGTAGGTTCATGTCGAAAAAAAAAAATTCCGTATGAAGGATAAAATCTCGACTATTGACCAATCTAAAACGGACACGATCTTGGATAAATATTTAATTATTTATAATTGCCTAAGCTCGATTAACGAAGCAATTTGATGCTTTTAACACGTATTTGCTTCTCTGTTTTCTGGTACTGTCCATTGCTTTATGAAGATCTTTCATCAAGTTAAAATGTAGAAGATATTTTGTTGGTGACAAGATATGTTGAATCCTTAAAAGAAACATAGAGCAAATCCTTTTAAGTTATAAGGTCATTCATGAAGATATGCTTCAATTAGCAATGATCTTCTTAGGATTGCAAAGCCTAATGTCACAATTTGGTTGGAGGCGAATAGAGTAATGGATTATACCAAAAGAAGTGAATTTAGCAAAGATTGTGATTAAGATTAGTGTTTGCACTACTTTATAGTACTCAAATTTAAATATTTTTAATTTTTTTTATTTTTTATAAATGGGAAAAAGGAGATTAAATTCCATTCATGCACTAATCGATGACTTAAATGTTTTAGTATAAAAAATTTGTTTACTTTAGTATTTTTTCTAATTAGTGAAATGTAGATTCAAACTTTACTTTATAGACAGAAGATTTAAATTTTACTTTTTATGCACCAATCAATCAAATGTTGAAATGTTTTATTCTTAATTAATGTTAAAAATATTAATTATATATTATTTTTATGATATAAAAAAAAGCCTAATTATGTAACATAAATACATTCCAATCTATCTACATGAGTTTTATGAAATAAAAAATATATTTAAAAAGAAATTTATAAAAGATTTCATACATTAATTATCCATTTTCTTTTTTCAAATTCAATTATTCTCATACAAAATTTAAATCATGCTCGCGCTTACATAAAAAAAATCTCAAATTCATCACAAATTATTTACTATAAAGTTAGATTAATGTTGATATGATAGAGATTTTAAACCATATTCATTTACATTTATATAGTTTAATAGGAGTAATCAGTAGTACAAAAACTTATTCCTTTTTTCGTTAAAAACCTTCGTTTATTTCATACTCATAAGTCAAGCTAGCTTGGTTAAAACTATGATAAAAAGAG